TTATTTCATTTGTAAAAAGCAGAGAAACGCTTGGCATTTGCACTTTTGCCGCCGTCTAAATACATATATTATATATTTTTGCTGCAGCTGGTCTGTGCATATGGGCGGATGGGGGCGTGGCGCATTAACACTTGTCGTGTCAGTGTCGCATGTCGTCGCTTGCAAGCTGTTAAACTAAATACACCATGTCTCGACTTCTGCATGAACTCATTCGCGAATGTTGCACAGCTCTCCCAATGTGTGAGTGAGCATCCATGTTTGTGTGTGAGTGTTAGTAAATCTACCGAAGCAGAAGCGAGTCTCACTCACGCTTCCTTGCCTTATTCATAGTAAATTATATGCACCCACATTTACACAAATACATATACATGCGATCTGCGGGCGCATATGGGCATGCTGAAATGCTAAGCAATTAGACTTTGTTCACCAGTTGGGCACCAGCAAAGTGCTTAATTATTTTTACATTTAATATCAAATTATAAACAATTCAAAGCGCAATTAAAAACCAGGACTTTTGATAATGTTTGAATTTCTATAATAATAATAATATATTGGCCGTTGAAAACATGTTTCCCGTTCGCAATTCATGTTAAATTTATACCATCAAATTATGTTTGTGGGAATGTGCCAACTAATCGAAATATTAAAATTGTTTGACTAATTGGCAGCTATTGATGATGTTGTCAGTCCTTCGGTGGGAGATACAATGGATTTGGTGTTTACATTCGCAGCTGACGTCAAAGTAGCCTTCGATGGGGAATGAATAACTTTGGCTTTTTGTCGGGTATCGATGACAAATCAATGAGAAATTGATGAATGTGTTTGGCTTTTGACAGCCCAGCAGAGAGAGAGAGAGAGAGAGAGAGAGAGGGAGACAGGGGGCCAGGTGCAATTGTTTAGCATGCTTATTGGCGCATTTTGCGGCCAGATCCGCAGCTGTGGAATTGCATACAATTTGCATACACGAATACGATGCAAATTGCCACGGCATGATCGATGTATGTGTGTGTGTGCGAGTGTGCGTTTGTATGCGTGTTAGTATGCAAATGAAAGGAAATGCGGAAGTGCCGTCGGAAATACTGGTGGGAATAGAACACAGTTCGCTGGTTTTCCCAATGTACGCGGTGGTCTTTATGGCAAAAGTCAAACTGAGTCTTTCAGGCAACTGCAATTTCGTACCCACCGCATCCATTACGCATGCAAAGAATGTGCGAGTGAGCAGTCTATACATGAGTCAGAGAGAGAGGGAGAGAGAGGGAGACAGAATGAGAGGCAATGGTTTGTTGTAAGTTGGTTGGTTTGTTTGCGGCTTCTGCTTAAAATTCATGACTGTTTAGCACACATGCCGCATAATGTTGCATACATTTAAAACCTCGCGCGAATATCGCAGCTGCCGCCAGCGATGCGACTGCATCGCTGTTGTTGCCTCTAAATAAGATGAACACATATGGTGTGTGTGTGTGTGTTTGACAATATTTATGTATTTTCCACATACATAAATGCAATGCATTCGCCAATTTTCTAAGCACTGTATATATTGTGCATTTATAGCTTCTACTTGTTTTGCATGCTAATTGGCTTTTGGGGCGTGGGTGGGATATATCTGTCTGCAATTTGTCGCATTCAGTTCATTAGCTACGAAAATATGCAACTATTTGTTAAACAGTTAAGCGTGCTCAATTTTATTATGTGTTATGCATGACACACGCTCTAGTTGAACAAATTTCGAATTGAACAACTCATAAATACAACAATTAAATGCAAATTAAACACTAAATGCGACTTAAGTTTTGTATTTAAATTGCATATTCCAAGCTCGTTTGCACGAATAAGTTTTTCTGACTTGTTCTTAGCCGTCAGTCAAATATACCAAAATCGAAGCACAATCCAAGCATCCCTGGATTAATTTATAAATTCCAACTAACAAACTTGGCAAATCAAAAAGTTTTGAAATCGAAGCGATGCAAGTCTTTGCTGTGCATACTTTTTAGTAAAGCAACGCAATACAAATAAAGTGCAAAGCAACCGAAAATGGTGAAATGCAATTCAAAATTTGTATACTAGTAGTTCTAGCAGTCTAATACAACTTTAAGTCATGAAGTCACCCGGGATGTCATTCATTGAGATTTGTGCGGGTTGCACACACGGCTTATGCGTATTGTAATCATGTTGCTATGGTATTTTAGACCAAAGCCGTCGCTTCCTTTCCCCATTTGCTGCTGCGACTCTGCCTGTTGTCTGCCTAATGGCATTATGCATATTTCATTACATTAAGTGGCAAAACAACGCATAATCAACTTGCGTTCGTCCTCTGCTTTTGACACTGCATACACTGTGTGGGCGTGGCATCTACACACAATCCCCAGCAAATAGGTTCACAATGATAAAACGAGCAGGCTGCCTTCGGGCAGGGGTAAAGCGTAGGAAGCCGACGCCACAAAATTTACAAAATTGGAAATTTGGTTGCTTTTCATCAATAGAAGCAAGTGCGCCTGGCAGCTCCACGCTCCACCACAAACCCCTTCGCCTTGCTTCACGCTGCGTGCACTAATTGTATAGGCAACTATTTAGGTATTTGCAACGGTTGTTTGCTCGACCCAGATTGTGGCGCTTAAAATTAGTTACGTAAACATTTGGGCAAGCAGATAGTATCATATGCATTTGCATCACGATTCCCTTGAGAAATAATTGATTTGGCCTTAGTCCAGGGGCTTAGCTATGTCGACTCACCACTGTGCCATTTTGCCACGCGTTCATGATCTTTACCATTAGGTGGTTGCAGAGTACTAAAATGTGCATATTATTTTTAAATAAACTGTGAAGAACAGGTCTGAAAATGTAAACAGAATCTGGCCAATATTAAACGCAATCTATATATATATATACATATATACATTTTTTTCGCCAGGGGAGACCTATGAAAGTATTGAAATGTAAATAAATTGCTGCGAAAAAAACATAAACAAAAACTCATCAATTGCAATGTGTAATAAACAAAGTAAAACAATTAATAAGGCGATTATTTTTATTAGTAAACATTTCTATTTTCCGTTTAGTAATTATTCATATTAATTATAGCTCATTCTTGAAAAACCCTTCCGGAAACGATTTTATGCTGTTCCTCGCACAACTTTTACAATATCTCACGATGATATCATTTAAGCAGAATAACTGAATTATAACTCATTCTTGAAAAACCCTTCCGGAAACGACTTTATGCTGTTCCTCGCACAACTTTTACAATATCTCACGATGATATCATTTAAGCAGAATATCTTGTATTTCATAAAATAAATTAATCTTAGAGCAACTATTTGTATGCTGTCTTGAACTATTTAAAGGAATGCATGATATGATCAATGTGCTGAAAATTCTAAAATCGGAATATTCTAAGTTAGTTAATTATTTTTATTCGTTTAGTTTTAACACTAACGAAAGAATATTAGCAAAGTTTTCAATAAATATAACATTTAACTAAAATGAAGTCATTATCTTTTGCACTGTTTTTAATCTTCTCCGGCTTTTTACGTACATTTATAATACCGTGCCTTTCCCATGTTTGGCCAACTTTGGTCATTCCTGTGAAATCCCCTTCAGATTAGCACATGCCATAAATTTATTTAAGTCTGTCTAATCCCGGCTCGCACACACAGCCCACAAACAGACAGCCAACACACACACAGCACACACACAGACACACTCAAACATTAGATTGGCAATTGCTTATGACCCGGTAGCCTAGACGAGGGGTACTTTGTATATGCAGGCGAGAGTCAAATGTATTTGCCTTGAAATTTTGCATTCCATGGCAGTTGTAAATTAATTTATGACTTTGCTTTTGCGCACGGAACGTTTTCCAGTCTCGTACATCTAAATATTAGAAATGTTTGCTTTGTCTTTTAGCAATTTAACGTTCATCTTATGCATTTATCATGAGCCTATTTGTGTTTCCGAGTTATAAAGGATATTTAGTAAATATGCAGGGCAAAGTAAACATTTCTTTTTGAAATCAATAAAATTAAATTTTACATTTAAAATTCTAGTATAAATTCATTTATTTTCTTTGAATATTCATATTCAAATCAATTTTTTTTTAAATAAAAACAGCGCAATAGCTTATATCAATAAATAAATATTTTTGCCTTTGAAAAACCCCCAATTATTTTTCTAACAGCTGTCTTTGCTTCGTGTGTGGCATATGGACTGACGCACTTCTATATTTTAAATAATTTAGACATTAAATTTCTAAAATCGCGAATTGCTAGATCCCATTCACTATCTGTTTACATAACAAGAAACAGATAAATTTTCGTGATGCAATAATTAACGTTTAAGTGAATGCTATTTTTGGCACAAAACTTAAACAATCAAGAATATTTGCAAAAATAAACATTCCCATTGAAAATTATAGCTGCAAAAGAACCCCCAAAACCATTTCAAGTGCAATATCATTAATAAAAATTATAGGCGTAAGTAATTGATAATCATTCAAATAGCTAGATATCAAAGGGAACGTTAGACTTCAACCATATCTTTTGAATTTCAATTATATTTTGAAATATATGTGTAGATGAACAAGCGACCAGTTTACGATCCAGCAAATTGGGCACCAGGCACTAAACAGCATTAGTATTGAAAAAGTTGATAAATGAAAAGGGAAAGTGACATAAGTCACAATGCTCTCTCTATCTTACTCTCTCTCTCTCTTTTTCTCTCGTCTCTCTCTCTCTCTCAATCGAACTCTCTTCTACACAATCACCAGAATGAGGGCGCTGCAATTGTCGCTCAGACGTCAGACGGCAACGTGACTTGCGTATAAAGAGCGATATTTGTGAGAGCTTGAGTTTGAAGTACTTTCGTTATATCATTTTTGATAAAACAAACACACATGTTTATATGTATTTATGAATTACTCTGTTGTTGTTCAAGATTCACGTTCCACGTTGCGCGTTCGCACCCCAATTCCAGTCAGAAATACACACATTCAGGCCTGATGAGTGCACGGTGAATCGCCATCAGATTCAGAATGGGAACGGGTTCGAGTTTTGGCTTGCTCGTTGAACTGTCGGCACAGAGACTGATCAGTGCTTGGGACGCGTGTTTGGCGTGCAGATCGCGGTCGAGAACTTCGCAACGAAATTTCACACTCGCAGCGGAATTTATTGTGGTAAAATTAAAAAAATGTGAACATGAAAACATAATTTACATATTTTACAAAATTAAATAATTCAATTTGTTGGCACTTAAGCGGCTTAACAGATATTAGTGTCATTAACTGGAATATTAAATAAGCACACACACATTTTTGATTATGCTAAAAAAAAACACAACATTTTTTAATTAAATCAAAATTTGTTTTTATTTAAAAAATTTGCATCAAATTACAATGAAAGAAAAAACAACAAATTATAACAGTTGTTATTATTCAATGCAAACATACAATGTGCCTACTCAGCTAAAAATATAAAGACGCATATTAAATTACTTAAATATCGCAACAAACAAAATATATAATTTAAAATCAACAAAAAATGAATAATTCAAAATAAAGGGAAAACGAAAACTGCGCATCGAGATTAAAAGTCAATTTGTCTTGGAGTTTAGTAGCTTAAATACGCTTTTGTGTGGCACAAATTGATACAAAAAAACGGTTTTAATTTAGTGTCGCCTGCAGGTCAGAGTTGGGGCTACGTATTTGCACAGAGTGGTAGAGAGTGACCTAATCCGACCAGCTGATTTGTATTTTTACTTATATTTACTTTCGGCTTTCGGCTATGCTTTCAATTTGATTAGTTGTCATGTCGACAACACGACACGCTCCGCAGAGTTCATTAGCCCAGAGATGCTCGATTTTGTGCCCTAAAGTGCTCTTGTACTCTAGCATAAAATACATGCTTATACATGCTAAGCATATATGTATGTATGCATACCTATATATGCATGCGAGCTGGGATTTATTTTATTTAATCTTGTCACTCTCTCTTTGCCGACGGCCTTTCGTTCTATATTAATTGTCCCCTGCTTGGAGAATATTGTTATTGGGCTTCTTATCAGAAGTTACCCGATATGAATACCCTGTATTGATGTATTTGTAAATACCTATCGAGCATACAAAATATGTTCTTATAATGAGTATACTGGGCTATAGATTTTTTTTTAGCTAATACTACAAGCAGCATTTTGCGCAGCTTGAACAATCATTTGTACTTCTATTTATCAAACAAAAGTGCTCTCGAATTTAATTTAAAATAATCAGCAAGAGCCGATAAAAAGCAATGGAAATTATTGCGTATTTTCTAAATTGATTTTGATACCTTTGGTGCATGCTGAGCGCCTGTCATAAAATGAAATATTTATATATTATCAATTTACGAATACCAAATGTTATTCTCAGTTCCCTTTTGTCAAATCACACCCAAAATATACGCAATTTTTTTTGCTGCCCAATTGCATTCCAAATTTGATTATAAATCGAGATATATATATATATAATTAAATATCCCCGATTGTCATTCATATGCCATCTTGATTAATATTTATAATATAGAAATTTGTATATTATAAGGACGTAAAAAAGTCATTAGCTTTCTAATAAATGTTCATTATATTTGAGTAATTTTCCGTCATTATAGAAATCTAAGTGATAAAGTGTTATAACTAAATTCATAATACAATTATAAATTGCAGTTGTGTAACAAGCATCTGTACCTCTACAAAGTACAGATGATCTGTAATTATCTCTAATGTAATTGTGCTTCTGTGGTATATTGTTATTCTTAGTAGATAAACCTTGTAATAGGTCGATTTATAAATTTTGAAGTCTTGTCACTTAAAGCTACTTGGAACTAATAAATGACTCACTTTATATCTGCATATATACATATATAGAGTATAAACAAAGAAATCAACTGCTGTTATTGAGTGAAGTAAATGATAAACACAGTAAAAAATTAATCATGTAAGTTGTTTACGATTTACTACTTGTATAATTGTTTTGCTTTATTGGATATCTTTGTAAAATTATCAACACTACAATTATTTCTATTTATAAAATTAAACTGCCGGAACGATAATACCATAGTATATGTATGAGATCATAAGCTAATCAGTGGGCCAAGTAGTTGCGTTATAAAGCCTCATCTTGATGGGCAGTCCAAAAAAGTTGGATTCATGTAAATGCATATTAGCTGAAAACTTCTGTTATTTGGTCGTAAAATCAAAAAAAAACATATATATATATATATTTATTTATATAATTTAATTATATATTGCTTTTAATAAGTAAAACTTACCCCAAGCCTTGGTAAATTCTGAAAACACGTTTCGGCTGTCAGAAACGCATGGATACCTTCGTTAACCTCCGACTTGTTCTTGGAACTGAAGTGTTGATTGATGCTGTTCATCAGCTGCGATTTTCCTTCGTCATTTTTATCCCTTAAATCCTTGCCCGAATGCACCGACTTCTTTGAACGATTTCCTCTGACGCTGGTTGTACTATCCGAGCCTCCATCGGCTATCGTCAGATTTTCGGGACATCGTTTGCTTATTTCCTTGCGTTCATGATCGATACGCAATTGAATGGCTTCCAGCAAGCTGATGGGATCAACAGGATGTGGCTTGTCAGGTATGGTGTCCCCAAAGGCAATGTCAAAGGCATACTTGTTAAAGTCCTTGAGACCAGACAGTGTTTCCTGTATGAGACCCGGACAACTTTGATCTAGCACCAATGTCTCCAAGAAGAGAGTGTTTGTTCGCTGTATATAGCGTTCCTCGGCTACACATTGTTTGAATTAATAGAGGCTATCTATGAGAGTAGATAGGCTCACTTACGCGTTGTATTATCAAAAAATGGATCTTTCCGAGTTAAGTAATTTTGATTGACGACGGCAGAGCATGCGTTGTTGTTATTCATGGATAGTTGGATGGAATCCTCGATGCCACAGTAACTAGCTGATCCTATTCCTGTCTTTGGCTGATAGGGAGGAGTTGTCTGCGGCATGCTCATATTATGCTGGCAGCAAGTCTTTTGACTAGGTCCTTGGCAATTATCACTCCTCTGCTGCATGCTCATATTATTCTGGCAGCAAGTGTTTTGGCTGGGGCCTGTGCAATTATCACTCCTTGAGCGAATCGTGTCAGCGGATGATGATGCCCTAACTGGATCTCTGAAGGTAACTTGCTGCTGTTGCTGTTGCCGTTGCTGAGGGTTCTGCCTTAGGGCTCTTCGATTCCCTGCCGCGGGCAGTTGCATATATTCCGTAGCATCATGTGAATCAAACATATCAAGCTGTTTGTAAAGGACCTTAAGGCATGCAGGATTGAAAACATACCTGTGCTGCTTACCTGTGCTTGACACTGCATGGCTGGCTCCCTTTGCTGATACGAACATTGGCGTTGGCTGTTGTTTAGTATTGACTGCTTTTGAGGTAAAATGAATTCTATGCTTTTCTCAAATCGCTAGCTTACATTGCTTACCCTTTGTGGCATGCAACGTGCTGCATACGCTTCATTTTCTATCTGTTCATATGGTCCCACAGAAGAACTGAAAGAAGAACTCTGCTGCGGGTGCTGTTGTTGTTGTTGCTGTGATAGCACCAGTTGCTGTAGTTGCTGCAATTGCGGCTGCTGTTGCCATGACTGTGCACAGTAGGCTGGTTGGGCCGCAGCTCCACTGCCAATCATGGTGCTATTCAGACCAGGTTCCTAATCGAAAGGTATCCCTAACTTATGAAAGCCTTTGTTTACGGGCAACTTTTGCCGAGTTACTCACAAAATTGTCAACGGCACCATCATTCCTTAGCCAACTTCCATTTCGTTCCCTTTGTTGCTGATATCTCTGCAATGCTAGCTGTTGTTGTTGTTGTTGTTGCTGGTTTAGTTGTCGTTGCTGCTGTTGGTGCTGTATCCATTTGCCATAGCTAATGGCAATGTTGCTGCTGTCATCTGCTGGACATGTGCGATGACTTTGCGTTGGCTCATATGACATTTGATAGACATTGCCAGCGGGTCTATTGGGGCACTAGATGTAAAATATAGAAAAGGCATATTAAAGGTCTCAAATCCAAATTTGTAATTAAATCAGTGATCACCGATATTTGTTATTTATCTTTTCTACTTACTGTTGAACAATCTGGTGCTTTTCGCGGTTGCTGCTGTTGCTGCTGTTGCTGATGTTGCTGCTGTTGCTGCTGTTGATGATGTTGCTCTGGCAGTATATTCGTTGGCTAAATAAAATATAATCTAAATATTTAGCGTGTAATTTATGGCAGTAGCTTACATTGGATTGGTAGTGGTGGGTTGGCTGTAAACCCAGGAAACTATGCGGATGATCTTGTGGTATAGTGCACTGTAAATGCAAACAAAATTGTATCCATTCCTTTACTAATCGCAATAATTTTAATATTAATACTCACAAAGGCATCTGCGCCTCTTTGGCAATCGCGTGTGCTTTCTTTCGGGGGCGGGGCGCTATGGGAACGTTTTCTATGACGATTTTGTGAATTTTGTGGATACCCCGAATTCGAGAAGTGCTGAAACAAAAAATATTATCATTAGAAAAGACTTCATATCATATTTACTATCTACTAAGAATACCCTACCATTGGCTGTGGCGTTAAATTCATATCCTTTTGGTTCCCCAGCCTCGAGATGCGTTTCAGTGAATCTGTTACTCCTTGAAAGGATGGATAAATTGTCAGTTGACCGCTTGATAAGGATGTCTGATCTGGGTTTACGGTTTCCACACTCTCATCAGTATTATATACAGGGCAGACTTCCTGCGAGGCAGTCGCGTTCTGTGCTTGTTGTTTGTCAAGATATCGACTCACAGCGTTATAGAGCTCATCGGCTAGCAGAACCGAATTTCTAATAGTATCCATTGAAAGATATTCTGAGATTACACATATAGAAGAAAGCGTTCTCACTGAGCACTTACATGTAATCTATTTTATTGGAATTAAATTTCGTTCTAGTTGATTAAAAGTTTTGTTAAAAAGGTAACATTTTGATAAAATAATACAAGTTTTGAATTTGGATTATGTAAACAATGAAGAAATGAATAATAAGCATAAGTCTCAAAGCTAACTACAACTGTGTAAATAGAATATAAAAAAAGCATGTGTGATAATAAGCCGAGACGCATACAGATCTTTGTACCTCTTAGTTGGTTTAAAATATAAATATATTCAGTATTACACTCTTATCTGCAGCTTTCTTATCTGTGTTCATTTTACATTAAAAACATTTATTGTTAATATACCTATTATTGTATACCCTGCAATGTATCTGAACCTAATCAAAAGTTATGTCGACTATTTCACAATAAATAATTTATTTTATTATTTAATGATCGATTCATCACGATAGTCATAAATTATTGACGAGACTCTAAATCTATATGTTTATTTAAGATTATATATATTTTAATGAAATTTCTTTCAGTCGCTGAGACCCTTAAGATACCCTACCCAGAGTAAGAGTTCGCTTTTTCATTGGCCTGTTTCAACTGTTTCAATTCCAACTGCACAAAGGCCAAATCGTTTCTGTTGCTTGCCATATCCGTTTCCTCGTTTGACATCCCGGCTCTGGGGCATCCGTCGTGCCAAACGGCCAACTTGCAAGGTGGCTGCAACAATTGCTCGTCGAGTTGGGCCAGAAATGTGGAAGTGGCATGCACATTACGCGTTAAGTCCAATTCACGCAAACCCACCGCCGCCTGACTGACAATGAAGCGAAGCATTGCACGCGCTACTTGCGGCGCTTGGGGCAGCCACTTGATGCATCCATTCTTCGCATCATAGTGCACCATCAGCAGCGAGTGCCATGCGATGCGTTGCAGCCGCAATTGCCCCAAATGTCTTTGCAGCATTCGCAGCAGGCCCGCATCAAGTTGACATTGCAAACTCAATGCCACAATCGTAGATACGCCGACGCCACTCAGAGCCTTAAGGCAAGCGGATATGGTTGCTGTGGCGACTCCACCACCACCATTTGTCTTCTGTTTGTCGTCATCGTCGACGCTGCCGTTGCAGCAGCAGAGGAAGCCTGTCAATTGAAGCAGTTGTGACAGCCGTGCAATTTGCTCCCCCGCTGCACGCAACGCACACCCAGGCAATTTTAGTCTCTGTAGCATTTGGCCATATTCGATGTTGGCCAAGTCGACTGTCTTAGCGTCGCAGATGCAGCCCGGCAACAACTCAAAGCCAGTCAAATGCGGCAGCTGTGCATGAAGCGTGGATATATCCCTAGGCGTGACATTCGCACAGTTGCCCAGCTGCAGCTGAGTCAGGTTGTTGCCAATTTGGGGCAGTTGTTGCAGCAGCTTTGCATTGCATTGCGCTAAGCTGAGCCTTTGCATGTTGCCCATCCATTTCCATTTCCGTTTCCGTTTCGACTTGGACGTCAGACAGGGCAAAAGACTATCGCTGTTGCTCAGATTAAGCAGTGACCGCGTTATACTCACAATGTATTCCAGCAACCGACTCTGCTCAGCAGCGCTTAGCAATTTTAATTGCGGCTCCCGCTGCCAGTCGAACTTTCCGGCGTATTTGCGTTGCCAAATCCGCAGCACCAACTGCTGGAGCCGACCGCCCAACTGCAACAATGCGAATTGCTCCCCAATTGCCAGCTGAGCGCAGATCAGCAGCAAACAATCATCATTGAGCATTGTCAGCGAGACGGGCGCTGCAAGTGGGACAGCGGGGACTGGAATTTTAATGAAGTTTTGGACTAATGTTTGGCAGGATGTTTGCGTTAGTTACCGTTGCGCCTTAAATGCATTTCTGTGTTGTCTCGCTTAGTCCGCAATTTCAACTGATGAGCTGAGTTCGAGTTCGAGTTTGCTGCGTTGCATGCAACTCGTGCCACCCTTGTTTCTTTTTTTTTATATTTTGAATCACTGTTTGCCAGTCAGCTGCTTGTGAAGCCCTTTCGCACCAGCAACATCGACAACACATACACAGATATGACACACACACACACACGCACAGTTTGCACAGTGTGCTGATGTATATCTGTGGCATATGACACCAAGAAATGATTAGAGACATATGTGTAACAGATGTAAGATATATTTTTAATTCTAGTAGTAGTCGAAAAATAGATAATAACAACATTTCCTTAAAAAATTAAAAGTATTATGAAAAAAGAAGGGCACAACTATATCGACTTCGCTGTTCCTGATCGACAGTTTATATTTAGGATATTTTTGCATAAAATCAACACATGCACACCACTATGATATACTTGGTGGTGTTGCTGTTGGTGGTGGTCGCAGTGGAGTTTTGCTGGCGACAGCAACCAAAATAAATGCAACCCCTATCGGGCACGCGCCCGCTGAGCGTTCGTCATGGAGTACTTCATGACCGGCTATCGCGCTTCGATTGTCTTTAATCGCAGAGTGTTTGGGCTATTTTTAAAAGCAGGCAGCAGAGAACATAAGTTGCCATATGATAATAACGCACATATGGCAACCATGGCAATGATTGCAATACGACCAAGGCCACGACGAGGGCGATAACTTGATAGTTGGAATTTCAAGTGCGCTCTTTCAAAGATCAGAGATTACGTGTAAGATAATATATAAGACCTATAATCTGTTTGACTTTTGTACTTTGCTTTTCCAATCAGCAAATTCGTCATTCCCCAGTCATGAAATTAATAGATCGTCGCAGGTGTTGAAATTTATTTATCTTTTTTTTTTTTCTTAAAAATTATTAAGACAAATTTCGGTAAATTTCAAAATTTTTTGGGAATGGCGATTGAAGGTGATAAACGGCTGCTTCACATATATAAATACCCGCAGAGTCCCAGCCAGACTGTAAATAGTTCACCGGCGCAAGCAATAACCAGCCAGAATGAGGAACGGGAACGGGACAGGGAACGCGATCTCAATCTTGAGCGCGCCTCCAAGTATGGCACTATCTGTTGGCATCTCAGTCTGGTCATATTAATCTGCACAATGGTTCTGGCGTTGCTGTGGACGGTTTACTTAAGCGTTGATTACTACTCCTGTACGACAGAGCAGCGCTTTGCCCAAATGCGTCAAGACTTTGTGGTTAAGGAACGACGGCGCCGTTTGGGTGGCAGTTTGGGTCTAACTCCACTGGAGGAGGTTGCCAATCAGCGACTGCTGGCTATTAAGCGGGTGGACGAGGAAATGCATCAAATCTGGAGCGATTATCAGCCACGTCCCCATTTTCTTGCCAAATACCAAATCAACGAAACGGATCTCTATAGTGCTCTGCGTAGCATGCCCAAGGGTGGATTGTTGCATGTCCACGATGCGGGCATGTTCAAGACGGAGCTGCTCATCGAGCTGACCAATTACGCCGATCTGTGGGCATGTGTTGACATCGATGGCTCCTTCGAGGACTTTCGGTTCTCTAGCGCTATCCCGCAAATTAAGCCACAGGGTGATTACAAATGCCAATGGATGCTGATGAGCAACTTTCACATGCAGGACTCCACGTCATACAGGGATAAACTGCGTGCCACTTTGTCCATGGATGCCCATAGCTATACCAATGCCACCCACTTGGCCAATCATTTGAAACGGGCGCATCGCTTAATCCATGGCTTAATCACCTATCGACCAATGTGGCCAACCTTTTTATTCTCCATGCTAGAGGATTTCTACGCCGATGGTGTCACTTACGTAGAGCTGCGCTCCTCGCTTCCAATTGTGAGTAGCCACAGTCGTAGGAGGTAATTATTATGTTAAATAACACTATCTGCTGCACCATTAGATGTATGATTTGTCCGGCACGAATTATACCATATGGGATACGGCCAATTCGTTGATAACCATCACAAATATATTCCGTTCCACTCATGATGATTTCATTGGCATCAAGTTGATCTATGCACCTGTGCGCGATTACAATGACAGCAGCATGCAAGACTATCTACAAATTGCTCGCTTTTTGAAGGTATCGATCCCGTAGGAGTTGTTCTTGCTTCACATAATCTAGATATTTACTGTCGGTACTCTTCTCCCATCTAGGCCAAGTTTCCCAAGTTTTTCATTGGTTTCGATTTGATAAGCTTCGGCGACGAGTGCCAATTCCAACCGCTGGGAAGTGCGATTCAACTTCTGCACATTAGCAAGGAAATCGACTTTTATTTCCATGCGGGCGAATCGCGCTGCCAGAACACCACAACCAATTTGCCCGATGCAAATCTCATTGATGCCCTGCTCCTGGGCAGTAAGCGATTGGGCAATCCGCTCAATTTGCCACTGCATCCGGAAATGCTGCGGGTCATGAAGCTGCTTAAGATTGCAGCTGAAGTGTGTCCACTGTCCAATCATTATATGCAATATGTGAACGATTTTAGTCAGCATCCGGCAGCATATCTCATTTCTGCCGGTTATCCAATTGTAGTCGGATCGGATTATCCGTACTTCTGGAATGCAGCACCGCTCACCGATGATTTCTATGTGGCCTTTGTGGGCATTGCTAATGGGCAGGCAAATCTACGTCTGCTTAAGCAGCTAGCCATGAACTCATTTCTGTACAGCGCCTTAACTGAGGAGGAAAAACATAATGCTCTATCCAAGTGGCACAATAATTGGGATCATTGGGTTGACAACTTTGTGCGCCGAACTTAAAGGAACTGATTTATTTAGATTGTTTTTGATATGAATTGTTCGACAAACATTTTAACATTTTATTAAAGTATCATGCCTTTCCAACCAATACCTCAATATTGTCACGTATAAATAATAAAAATCTGTATACTCTTGCTGAGGCTCATTTGCTGGCTCAATTTATGTTGATAAACCCATGGAAATATTCGTATTGCTGCTGTAGATATGTCAAAGTCGATTAGATCGGACAAATATGTCTCCGTTCTGTTTCCTTTCGAAAATAAGTGGTTTATAACATATTTCCGTTATTTCGATATATGCGATTAAAATGCGGTTAATGTGCTTATCTAGATGATATGTTAGTGAAGTTCAATAAAAATAAATTGACTTTCATTGAACTACCGTGTTGGGTATAATCTAATCTTTAGCACTTATAAATCAAGATGCCTGTCTGATAAGCCATGATTAGAGACACGTTGCCAGCTCAGCTATGCCTTATTGATATGAGTTTCTAACGAAATATTAGTATTTATACATATATTGATTTATTTATTTCAATCAGATCGCTTAGCTTTCGGTTTGGTCTGTTGTCCAAATGCAGAAGCACGTGTTAAATCAAAGATAATACAAAGCACTCAAAATCGATTTCAATCTTTCAGATAAGAGCACACGGTACTTGAGACCGGTCAACAAAAATCGACAGTACTGAGCAACTGGGTCTCAGTTGCTCTGCGCACAGTGAAACGAACACAAATCAGGGAAAAATGCTGCCACGTTGTAATCTAATCGCGGTACTCTGCATGTGCCTCTGCCTGTTCCTTGGACTGGCTGAGTCACGTTCGCGGAGCAAAGCTCTGACGATAACGAATTTTGTGCCGCTCAATGGCGGTTCCTCCGCCCACGTGGAGTCTCTGCTGGGCAGCACTCGACCAAATCCGGATACGTACAAGACAATACGTAATGCGTTCTCACACTACGAGGAATCGCGATCGCTGGGCTACGATCTGGAGCTGAACGCACGCGAACTGGAGGCCAATGCGACCATTATGAAGGCGAAACTCACTGAGTATTCAGAGGGTGAAATTACACCGCATCTGTTCAAGCCATCTCAGCATATTTTCAAAGTACTCGAGGCCATCGATAAGACGGACCTCTTCAGGATGCTCAAACGCATGCCAAAGGGTGCAGTTCTGCATGCTCATGACACGGCTCTGTGCAGCACGGCAGCCATCATCCAGCTGACCTACAATGATGATCTGTGGGTTTGCCAGCAAACCAACGACTTGAGTGCCTCATCCCTGCGCTTCGCTAAGCAGAAGCCTGAGGCCTTGACGGATCCCGATTGTGACTGGAGTCTGCTGTCGGAAGTGCGCAACAAATATGGAGCCGAAAATGTAGATGAATATTTGTCGGAGCGTTTGACTCTGTATCCCACCACGGACTTTGTAGACGTTAATGCTGCGTGGTCCAAGTTCATGGAGATTTTCGGACTCCTCGATGGATTGGTAATGTATGCGCCAGTCTGGGGCGAATACTATTACAAGGCGCTGGAGGAGTTTTATGCCGATGGTGTGCAGTATCTGGAATTCCGCAGCATACTGCCAACGGTATGCAAACTAAAAATCAATTCAGAATTGAGTTTAATATTTTGATTTACCCTAAGCTTTACGATATGGAGGGTACTGTCTATACGCCGCTGGACACCGTTCGCATATATGTGGAGACTCTGGAACGTTTCAAAAGCAAGCCGGAGCATAAGGACTTTATTGGTTCACGATTGATCTATGCGCCATTGCGCAACACCGATCCAAAGGGTGTCTTGGGTTACATTGAAATCCTCAAGCAAGTTAAGGTAAGTTTGCTCGTTTGCTACATAAATAATCTAGAAATAGTTTTTAATCTATATCTATTTGGTTTTTAGGCGAATTATCCGGACTTTTTGGCAGGTTTCGATTTGGTCGGCCAGGAAGAACTGGGGCGTCCACTTAGGGAATTTGTTGATGAACTGCTGCAAGTACCGGAGGATATTGACTTCTTTTTCCATGCGGGAGAAACTAATTGGTATGGTTCCTCTGTCGATGAGAATCTGATTGACGCCTTGCTGCTGGGCACAAAGCGCATCGGTCATGGCTTCGGTCTAGTCAAGCATCCGGTTGTGCTGCACATGGTCAAGAAATTGAATGTAGCTATCGAAGTGAATCCCGTATCGAATCAGGTGTTGCAATTGATCAGTGATTTCCGTAATCATCCCTGCTCACAATTCTTTGCTGATGGCTATCCAGTTGTCATATCCTCCGATGATCCATCATTCTGGAAGGCCACTCCATTGACGCACGACTATTACATTGCTTTCCTGGGCATTGCCTCTCAGCATTCGGATTTGCGATTGCTCAAGAAATTGGCACTCAACTCAATTCAATACAGTTCCCTCTCCGTCGACCAGAAAGCCGAGGCGCAGGCCAAGTGGCAGATCAAGTGGGATGAATTCCTGGACTATGTGAACAATGTTCAACAAAATGGAGCATCGCATAGTCAACACCTCGATTGACTAGCACGGGTGGTGGCAGTGCTTCTGGTCACGTTCTCCCTCCTCCTGAACACCGGCCTTTGGCACTAGTCGGAAATCAATCCCTCAAAGCTAGCTGACAATCGAGGAAACCGCGCTTATACTCAGTTCTAACACAAGACTCCTTATTCACGCATACTATGCTCATCCGCATTCGTTGTAGACTAATTAATATTGATTAGTGTTTAAGTATAAAGTTTAGTTCTACTACACACTCGACTTCCACAACTAAGCACGCTTAGTACATAAGAGATTTGGCACTTTAATCAATTTGTTTATAAGCTGTATTTTGTACTAAAAACAATTTGAATAAATAGCTCGGTCGTAGCCGCAATTCATGTTCAAAATGTGCATTCAGAATGCCCACGAAAAGGAACCACATGATAATTGTAATGAGAAATGCAGTCAAGCATTGCCAACCACACATGTATCTAGAGATGGCACATTTGCTAATCAATAACAGGCTGCAGAGGCCAGCAAGTAATTTATAAGATGCACTTAATTTGATATTTTTAATATATGTATATTTGCATAGCATTTTCGCATCTTTCAAGAATATTTTGGAATTATATAAAATTATCGCGTTGTACAAACCATCATTATTATTAAATTTATTTAAAAAAAAAACCATTAAATGAGCAATTCAAGCCTCGAAAAAACAACTCATATTAAAATGTAAAAGTGTGAAAAATTTTAAAGATACTCTTGTACCGATTAACAATGGATGCAGTTGTCTCAATATCTCAGTTGCATCTCTAAGGAAAAATGGAATGCATTGCAGTTGGCAGGCTGAAATAAGACCTGGGCATAAATCTCATAGCTTCGCTATCTGTCGCTGAGTGCACAGCAAAGTGGTCGATGTTTAATGAATGTGGGTGGTGGGTGGTGGGTGTGGCTCTTTCCTGCGAACGTAATGATTGCTGCGAGCACTGCTCCAGATGAATCAATTTTTACGTGCTGCTTAGTGCTTAGTGGTATCTGCGGATCTGTGGAAACCATTCGATTTTGATTTGGTGCGCGTAATGAGCAGAGTTTTATGTGGATCAGGCCCGAATGCAGTCTGTGGAGCAATACGCCTTGGTGAATATGTATGGGGGGACCCATAAAATTGATGGCAATGGATATATGTGTGTACGGATGCGTGTGTGTTTGTGTGTGAGCGACACAGCCGGTGGCAGGCTCATCAATTTCATGTCGGGGCCACATTTAATGTGGTGTTGAGGCCGCGCGCATAAAAAATACCGACAGCCATTCACATAAATAACTAATAAACTTTCGCATATAGTTGCCGTGTGGTCTCGAGGTGTATATATTTATAGGTGTGTGTAAGTGTGTGCTTAAGCGGACAACGCGAACAACTCGACACATGTTCAAATGTTAAAGCTGAATTCAAAGTTAAAAATTCAAATTTTATAGAAATTTTTTTTTTCTTAAATGTCATTCAAAATTTCTCAAATTATATCAACGCAATGGCTCACCGTTTTTACAGTAGACAAGTCTGTCGAGCTATGTCGGTACAGGCGCCCACGTGTGACCAGATCAAATATCAACCCCTATCGATGAGTCGCAGCCTGAGGGATATAACGCCAGAGGCTTATAGCACACTGCGTAATATAATGGTGCAATTAGAGCGTAACTCCTGTTTGGGGCACGCAGTTCAGCTAAATGAGCAGGAACTGGCAGCCAATAAGGTGATAAAGAGTGTAAAGACCAGAGAGCTGAAGAGGGGCATTATTAATCCGGCCAACTTTACGGCCTGTCAGCACATATTCCAAGTTCTGAAAAAAGTGGAAAGATCACCACTATTTGGTTTGCTAAGGACAATGCCCAAAGGCGGCATATTGCATGCCCACGATACAGCTCTCTGCAGCACCGAGTTCCTCATCAGCCTCACCTATCGCAAGGATCTGTGGATCTGCACTACCAAGGAGGGTTGTCGTGCGATCGCATTTCGCTTCTCCAAGACGAAACCAGAGTTGCCAGGCAAGGAGCCCTGCAACTGGGAGCCCATGAGCAATTATCATGGACGTTGCGGTGATAAGCACGTGAACAGATATCTACATAGTTGCTTCAGCATGTATCCATTCTCCAGCTTCCTGTCGAACAACGAGGCATGGAATAGATTCATGAGCATTTTCAGTCTACTCGATGGATTGCTACTGTATGCCCCCATCTGGGCGGACTATTACTATAATGCCTTGAAGGAGATGCATGAGGATGGTGTACAGTACCTAGAACTGAGATCCTTGCTGCCCGAACTCTACTGTCTCGACGGCAGGCAACTGACAATGGCTGACACCGTGGCGATATATAAATCGGAAACCGAACGTTTCGTTGCCAACCATCCGGATTTCATTGGTGCCAAACTGATTTATGCACCGCTGCGAGGCGTCGAACCTCAAGTTGTCGAAGAATATGTTGAGAAATGCGTTGCCCTTAAGGTAAGAGAGAGTAAAATAGCACAGATGAAGAAGTTGCCACGAGTTTTTAATAAATGTGTCTCTCGTGCAGAAACAGTTTCCAACATTTCTGGCCGGCTTTGATTTGGTGGGTCAAGAAGAGCTCGGGCGACCGCTGCTTGATTTTGCGGAGCCACTGCTGAAAATGCCCGAGGATATTAATTTTTACTTTCATGCCGGTGAGACTAACTGGTTCGGCACCTCCATTGATGAGAACCTTATAGATGCCATACTGTTGGGTACAAAGCGAATTGGACATGGTTATGCAATCGTTAAGCATCCGGTCGCCATTGAGATGGTGAAGAAGCTTAACATTGCCATAGAGGTGTGTCCGGTATCGAATCAGGTGCTGCAACTGGGGCAGGACTATCGCACTCATCCGGCTGCCATGTTGATAGCAAATGATGTGCCCATTGTCATTGCATCCGATGATCCATCATTCTGGCTCTCAACTCCATTGACCCACGACTTTTACTTTGCGTTCTTGGGCATAGCGCCATATAATGCAGATCTAAAGCTACTAAAGCATCTGGCCATGAGCTCCATTAGTTATAGTAGCATGACGGATGCAGAAAAGTCAACGGCAATGGGGAAATGGCAAGAGCAATGGGAAAAATGGATCACAAGTATAGCCAAAAAAGCGTAATGCATTTAATTTTCTTTCTTTTTTTTTTGTAATTATCATTTATTTATAAGTATATTATTACCGCTCGTAATTCCCTCAGCTAAGATTTTTGTTGTTGCTGTGTGTTAGTAAGTAGCTTACATCGATACAATTGATATGGGTAATGAGTATGCACAAGCTTGGTGTTTGTTTCAAATGTACCAATGTTCATTAAATTATAGCACATGGTTGAGATATATTTGTTGGGATATGTTTTTGGAGAGCAATTAAGCAATTATAAGTTTGTCACAGTTGGCCTATAAATAAGACAGCACTGTGAGCATTCTCTCTATTTGTTTTAATTCGTAATGTCAACTGTTAAATATTTGATACGTTAAACTGATGTGTTTTTGTTTTATTTATTTTGTTTTTTTTTTTTAAGCAGAGTCTTTAATACACTTACATAAGCATGTATATAAGCGAGTATATAGCACAATTATATTTTGAACATACATACAATTTAACTTCGTGATTTTTGTTTAGATCCAATTACGCTTTGATAACCCCCAAGAAGCCTTAGAACGCAAGCCATTTATTGTACATCTATATATGTATTAAAATTACAGTATTCTTTCGATCGCTTTTGCTCTGTGCCAACATTTTAGATAATTGAAAGATTGATAGATCTTTATTGTAAGCAATTCGTCTGTATATATGTTCGCAAAAATACATATAAATACCATATATTTTATTACTTATTATTTTGAATGAAAGATTACAAAATACAATATGTATCCTTGCCCAGTATTCGCCAGCTGTTCTCATTAGGTATTTCGTATATTATTTATATATTTCTCATCTGTTTTATCCACATACTTACACTTAATGCTCAATTAGCTCAAATCCTAAACCATTTCCCATGCAACTATCTTTAGTTATATCGTTTTTTCCTTCTTTTTTTTTGGTTTTTTTAATTTTTACAAGCTTACTTAAATAACTCGCACATCATCATCAATTCTCGATTTTCTTTTCCAATATTTCAAAATACATTTATATATCGCTAGGCTGTACAAATCTTAAGATCTACGGTCCAACTGACCAATTTTATCGCTTGCGAGAGAATTGTCTAAGTCTCATTTTACGCTATGTGCGTTTCCATCGCTGTTGTTGCTGCTGCTGTTGTTGCTGCTGTTGTTGCTGTTGTTGTTTCTGTTGTTGTCTTCGTAGTTTTTCGCCTTTCCAGCTTGTCTCACCCACACCCAAAGGATAGGGTATAATATCGGGTTGTTGCTCCGACGACGATGTCTCATCGTTGCCATTATTATTACTGTTGAAATTGTTAGCGACATCCCCATTACCATCCTCATCTCCTTCTCCATTTGCCTCCTCGGCGTCGACCCTTAGTAAACTATCGTCGGATGCATCGTGTTTTGGGGTTAGCTCATTTTGTACGCCATTAGTTTCATGGTAATTTTGCCTTTGTTGTTTCTGACTTTTTTGTTGTACATGCTGCAAATTATGTTTGTTGTTGTTGTAGTTGTTGTGATTGTAGTAACCATATTTGCTGGCATTACTGTTGTTTCTCTCACCACTGTCAGCACTGCAAAACTGCGAGTCAAACAAAGAAAAATAAAACAGCCAAAATATTGTGTTGAAAATTTTATGAAAATTCATGCATAATACATACTCGCATTTTCTAGCATTTAATTAAATTGTGCAATTTATTTAATAACGCAGAACAACAGCAATTTATTTCCGCTATCAGGCACAAGTACTTGTATATATATATAAGTCAGTTTTCCTAAGCGTCACAGAATGATTAGCAACAATTATAGATAAGGGTCTCATAAGCTTATAAAAGTCATAAAATAGTTTGCGGTTATGTGTTCCAATGATTTTCTATGATCTGCATTTGGTAAATATGGCTTAGGTGCACACAAATTAGAGCACCACAGATAAATATAAACCACAAATCCCTCACAACTATATGAATGCGAATGAGTGAATGGGGCAGTGATAAGGGTAAAACCACACTAATAGTAATAATACCATGGACAATGACTGCAATATAAGGAGTATGGTTTCAAATGGATCTAACTATGTTTACTTCGCATTTATCTTAATGGGCTATTTTGTTGCTAGCTTTGGCCTGATAAGTGACATAAAAATCTTTATTCGATAAGCGTTAAACTGCAGCAGCCATCAACATAAAAACCAAATATAATTTTTAATGATTGATATTAACTAAAGAGTTATTAAAATAGGCAAGTATTTTATTGACTGAAGTTAATTAAAGAGTAATTTAAATAAACAATTAGAAGTAAGAAAGCTATATATATATATATATATGCATTCGTTTAAACAGCTACATCGAATTCTCAAGTCTACCATTGAACTTGCCTCTACAAGCAAATACAACCCACTATAAATTCCGCTTATTATCAGGTCAACAACAATAATACAGAACAACTCATTTAGCTGAGAACAACAATGTCAAGGTCAAAGTAATAAATAATTCTACTAAGTATATATTTAACCCGTCTCAAAATCTTTTGTCGATTTTTAAATTTCACATTTTAAATCAGAGCAATCACAGCAACAACGATGAGAGCAACTTGCTCAGAGTCGATTCAATTGAGCGTCAAGCTTCAAACATATTATAAATCTGTCAACTCGTTATTATTGAGCTTAGTTGCAAGCTGAATGTTCAACTAACAGAAACTCAACTGAAACAATATTCCTCTTAGAAATATGAGTTCGCGATCGAAATCGGTCTTAAAGACGAAGCAAACTGCTCGCATTGTCATCATTGGAGCCGGCGTCTCTGGAATAGCGGCAGCAACACGTCTACTGGAACAGGGCTTTAAGAATGTGAAACTATTGGAGGCAGAGAATCGGATAGGAGGACGTATCAATACGGTTTCGTTTGGGGACAGTGTGATCGATAAGGGCGCACAGTGGTGCCATGGCGAAAACGGCAATGTTGTCTATCAGCGTGTCAGGGATTTGAATCTGCTCGACAGAACAGGTGACGCCTTGAAAGACCCAATCTATGTGCGCTCCAACAAGGAGATCTTGCCCGGTGAAATTGCAAATGTGCTTGGAGCTGCTGCAGAGGCTGCACTACCAACTGGACCAGATGAGAGCAATGGCTCACTTGGCGATCACTTAACGGACAACTATTGGAAGGGACTGGCGAGAGCACCACCAGTAGATCAGACCATCGCCAAGGAAATGTTGGAGACCCTCAAGAGATCCAGGTGTTCTTTCACTGCTTCGGATCATCTGTTTGAGGTGTCCAGACGCGCGCATCTGGAGATCGCCAACTGCGATGGTGAGTTTTTACTCAACTGGCGCGACAAGGGATATCGGAGCTTTCTGAAACTGCTGATGAATGCCAATGCGAATGAGCCCGAGGATCTGGGCATTCTCAATGGACACATTCAACTTAGCAAGCGTCTGTCTGAGATCAATTGGGCAGGCGCCGAGGAGTTGCTTCTGCGGTGTTGGGATGGCGAAGTCCTAACTGCAGATCATGTCATCTGCACTGTGTCGTTGGGTGTGCTGAAGGAACAGCATGAAAAGCTATTTGTGCCGGCCCTGCCTGCTGCCAAAGTACGTGCAATCAAGGGACTCAAGCTGGGCACCATTAATAAGTTGTTCGTGGAGTACTCCGCACAGCCCTTGCCCAAGGCTTACTCTGGCTTCAACTTCCTTTGGCTGGAGGAAGATCTGCTTGAGTTGCGTGGCACCGAACGCTTCTGGCTGGAAGGCGTTTCCGGATTTCACCGCGTTCTGCACCAGCCTCGTCTGCTGCAAGGTTGGATCATTGGCGAACATGCCCGCTACATGGAAACCCTGACGGAGGAGGAAGTTGTCGATGGTCTCCAGTGGCTCTTCCACAAATTTCTGCCCTTCGATATGCCGCAACCGTTGCACTTTGTACGCTCTCAGTGGAGCTCCAATCCCAATTTCCGAGGTAGCATTAGCTCACGTACCAACTACACGGATGAGCTGCGTACAGGCCCCTGGGATCTGGAGACGCCTCTACTTGATGCCGATGGCATGCCACTAGTGCAATTTGCTGGCGAAGCTTCCAGCAAAACGCATTTCTCCTCGGTGCATGGTGCCACAGAAACGGGTTGGCGGGAGGCAGATCGCCTCAATGATTATTACAGCCGTCGCAATGCTGCTTAAAGTAGGCGTTGCTAGATTGTCACCGATTGATTTTGACAAGGTAAATCTAAGGTGTCAATCAAACACAATGTTCAATGAAATATATATAATTTAATTTTACAAGAAATAAGAATATTAAATCCCATCTTTTCTTAATATACAAAAGGATTTTTTCTATAGTTGGGTTAAATACTTTTCAATCAATTTCTGAAACACATTATATATCGAGAAGACATATATTAATTTCAAATGTCTGTATATAATTGTTCAACTGTACTCAATTTTTGAATATATATAAAATTATAAAAAATAAAAAAAAACCAAACAATTGATAAGACCAATGTAACATTAAGGTTAGAAAAACTTAGTGGTTGATAACACCACAAACCACAATACAAAAATGCAAAACAACCGAGGTTTGTAAATGATATAAATGCAATTTGCCTGTCCACGGACACAGCAGTCACCAGCTAAACTCTGAATCAATTTTACAATGAGCTCATGTCACTCGGTGGGGAGGTCCAAGGAGACCGCTCGTATTATCATCATCGGATCGGGTCCATCGGGCATAGCGGCTGCCACACGGCTTCTCGAGCAGGGCTTTAAGAATGTTACAATTTTTGAGGCAGAGGATCGCATTGGAGGACGAATCAAGACTATTCCATTTGCGGATAGTGTTATCGATCTGGGGGCGCAGTGGTGTCATGGCGAGGAGGGCAACGTTGTCTACCAACGAGTCAAGGATTTGGATCTTGTCTCCAAGACTGAAAGTCAGCTAAACACCACTCGATTCCTACGATCCAATAAGGAAATGATTCTCCAAGAAACAGCCAATGCTTTGACAACAATCGTAGATAGATCGGTGCCAGAAGGGCCAAATGCATACGACGGATCATTTGGCGATCATCTGAACCACAAGTACTGGCTGGAGGTAGAAAAGCTTCCGAATGTGGATCGCACCATCGCAACAGAGATGCTGGACAACTTCAAGAAGGGACTGTGTGCTTTTGAAGGTTCGGATAACTTGTATGAAGTTTCCGGACATGGTCATTTGGAGTATGAGACGTGCGATGGCAATCAGGAAATTCACTGGCGCGATAATGGTTTATAAGACCTTTCTTAAATTGCTCATAAATGCCAAGGAGGATCCGTCCGACGATCTTGGCGTACTCAAGGGAAGAGTGAATCTCAACAAGCGCATTTTGGAGATTAACTGGGAGGGTTCTGATGAGCTGAGACTGCGGTGCTGGAATGGTGAAATCCTAACTGCAGATCATGTCATCTGTACAGTGTCGTTGGGAGTGTTGAAGGAGCAGCATGCCAGCATGTTTGTGCCCGCTCTGCCAGAGCCCAAATTGCGAGCTGTGAAAGGACTCAAGCTTGGCACAGTGAATAAGTTCTTCCTTGAGTACGTGGCCCAGCCCCTTCCTCAAGATTGGACTGGCATAAATTTCGTTTGGCTGGAGAAGGATCTGAAGGAATTGCGTGGCACCGAACGTTTCTGGCTGGAGAGCGTCAGCGGGTTTTATATTGTCAAAGAGCAGCCTCGCCTGCTGCAGGGTTGGATCATTGGCGAACATGCTCGCTATATGGAAACCCTCACCGCGGATCAAGTGCTCGATGGAATACTCTGGTTATTCCGCAAATTTCTGCCATTCGATGTGCCGTTTCCACAACGCTTCCTGCGCACCCAATGGCATTCCAATCCCAATTTCCGTGGCAGCTACAGCTTTCGCACCCCTTACGCCGATGACCTGCACACAGGACCATGGGACTTGGAGTCACCCCTAACGGATGTGTGCGGTAAGCCGAGATTGCTGTTCGCGGGCGAGGCGACAAGTAAGACCCACTACTCGACGGTGCATGGAGCAACAGAAACTGGCTGGCGCGAAGCGGATCGTTTGAATGGATTCTATAGCAAACTTAGCTAAAACATCTTCTCAAATATTGGCAAATAAATCTTTTAAATTTCCCTTGAAATGGAAATGAAATTGACGCAAAAATGTAAATTTATTCAAAATTTAATCTTTTCTCTTGTAAAGTAAGGTTCTCTTCCAATTATGTGTTATTAGTACGTCTCCTTTGAGTCTCTGATTTATGCAAGCAACAACTAACAATTACCTTTGCCGTAACATAACCCTTATTAAACTGAATTCCATTCCAGTCAAATGTTTGCGCAAAGGGCGTAGAAACAAGGACCAGCCTCTGATTGTTGCCGCGCATCCGACTGGCTGGACACACATAAAAAGCAACAACTGTCGCCAAATGGTTGGCAAAGCCACAGCAGATGTGGCCAACTTGTAGGCGGTATGTGTAAGGGAGGAGGGTGTGGATATTCTCTTAGCTTGGCATGGCGACAAAGTCGCATATGTAATTCGGCTGTGCTGGAGTAATCTGCGAGCAGATTTGACCGGGAGGCGTAAGGCAAGCAAACACATGAAACCGGACTCTTAATGCCTTTGGCCTTTGCGTGGCATAAATTTGAATTTTCAATATGGTCGTATGGGGCGTGGGACGTGGGGGCGTGGGGGACGTAAGCTGAATGCTGGCGAAAGCATTTCGCAGCACAATCCACACCAATGAGGATGAGGATCCTACTGCTTTTGTGGTATTTTTAGTTCAGCTGGCCTTTTGCTCTGTGTGCCAGTGGAAGTGCCAAACTGATTTTAGCAACTGCATTTTTGTCGTTATCTGGCTTTGGATGTGTTAAGTGCTGCAGCCACGCCCCCAAAACTAGCTAAGTGGGCGGTTGCTAGAACCAACGTATTCATATGCATGTGCCCCGTAATAACACTGCAATTACAATGTTGTCTGCGGTTGCTCGTTGCAAACGAGTTGGTCAACATGTTTTTGGCCAAATGATAAAATGGGGTTAACCATAGCAGTTACCACGTTCAAATGAATATGCATTCCACGCACAAATTTTCCTATTTCCGACGTAACTTACTTTTTGGTGCCAGGAGAATCTACTTAAATATTTAAGCTATCCAAATTCAAATATTACCTAATAAATCGAAAATGAATCGTGCTTATGGCAAGGAATGAAACCTTTGATGGCCATAACTTTGAAGAAAGTGATTTGAGTTTAAAAATACAAAAATTAGTTGAATATGTGGAAACTTTCAAAATCGATAGCTTTCTCTGTCTGAATTTACATGTTCAAATTATGTCCTGAAAAAGTGCTTGTGTGATATTTCAAACCTGCTTACATGCATAACTTGTACAAAATTCTAAACAAATATTTTTTTTCAATATTCATGTCAATATCATATAATCCCATACTCTAAACTCATAGCTTATTTATATTGTAGAGACTTTGTAGTTATCTCTCTAAACGCAAGAGTTTTTACGATATTTATTTTTAAATATTAACTTAAAATGGGCATAACATAGTTGCAAGCACAATCTGTTAAAGTCTTTTGTTGACACGCCGCTTATCGCCAATTATAACTGGGCTGTTCGAGAGCGATAATAGGTATTCAGTCGTTCCGCTTCACGCCAACCCGTCTCAGCGGCGCCATGCACCGTCGAGTAGAAGTGTTTATGCGAAGCCTCACCAGCAAACTGAAGCCGAGGCCGGCCGCCAATATCAAGAAGCGGTGCCTCCAGGTCCCAGGCACCAGTGCGCAACTCATCGGCGAATGTGGTACGGAAGGTGTAGCTGCCTCTGAAGTTGGGATTTGCATGCCATTGGGTGCGTAGGCAGCGCTGAGGTTGCGGCACATCGAAGGGCAGAAATTTGCGGAAGAGCCACTGTAATCCCTCGAGGACCTCCTCCTCGGTGAGCGTCTCCATGTGGCGGGCATGTTCGCCAATGATCCAACCCTGCAGCAGGCGTGGCTGATAAGATACTGGGTAGAATCCAAAGACGCTCTCCAGCCAGAATCGTTCGCTAGCGCGCAGCTGCTGTAGGTCTTCCTCTAGCCACAGGCAACAAAAGCCAGGCCAGTCCTTGGGCAAGGGTGGCACAGAATACTCCAAGAAGAACTTATCAACAGTGCCCAGCTTAAGTCCCTTTATAGCTCGCAATTTGGCCTCGGGAAGAGCGGGTACAAACATGCTGGCATGCTGCTCCTTCAACACTCCCAACGACACTGTACAGATAACATGATCTGCAGTTAGGACTTCACCATTCCAGCAACGGATTACAACTTCATCAGCACCTTCCCAGTTAATCTGTGCTATGCGCTTGTTTAACAACACATGCCCCTTGAGCATTGCCCAGATCTGCTGGGTCATCCTTGCAAGCATTCATTAACAGTCTGAGGAAAGCTCTTATAACCCTTGTCACGCCAGTTGAGCAGCAATTCACCCTCGCACAGCCAGTATTCCAGGTGCCCACGACCGGAAACCTCATACAAATGGTCTGAGGCCTCCACGGAACTCTCGAACTTGTGGAAGTTCTCCAAGAACTCCTCGGCAATGGTGCGACTCATTGGCGGTAGCTTGGCTACCTCGTGCCAATACTTTTGGGTCAAGTAGTCCCCGAGGGAGCCCTTGTAATCGACCAGTTCCGTTTGTCGATCCGGTATGGAATCGAATGCAATGTTTTTAAGGCCATTTGCAATCTCATCGGACAGCACCTCTTTGTTGGAACGCACACACCTGAACGTCTCATAGTGATCCTCTGTGGCCTCAAGCATATCCAGATTCTTAACACGCTCATAGACAACGTTACCCTTCTCACCGTGGCACCACTGTGCACCCAGATCGACAACACTATCCGCAAACGGAATAGTGTGAATACGTCCGCCTATCCGATCTTCGGCCTCCAGCACCATGACATTCTTGAAGCCCTGCTCCAGCAGTCTGGTGGCTGCCGCAATGCCCGCTGTGCCGGCTCCAATGATCACAATGCGAGCGGTTTGTTTTGTTTTGCTCAGAGAGCGAAGTGATGCAACACTCATTATGCTTCAATTTTCCGTCTACACCCGACACACGTCTGTCCCATTAAGAGTTCCGCCAGCGACTGAATATAGTGAAATGTGTCTTTGGTTCTTGTCCCTTTCGCTCGGCTGTCAAACGAGCTCTTGAATAATGAGCTAGTCACTTATCGCTGATGTTGGCAGATTATGCACTCTCTCTCTCTCTCGGTCTCTCTCGGTCTTTCTTTCTCTTATACTAGTTCGGTGAAACTTGATAGCAGACCTTGAATTTTTGCTCGTGGCCATTGTATTTTATAAGTTAAACACAAGATAGATAATCTATGAGTGCAAACGTAACAAACACCTAATCTTTACCAGATTGTGTAGTTAAAAACAGTTTAAAACTATGCATGTGTTGCACGTTGAATATATCAAATATATGTAGTTTAATACACTCTATTTTGTGATTTAATTGTTTGTTTAATTTGAATATCTAAATATAAATCTGTTTACCTCTTTACAGACACATTATCGCACTATCAAGCCCACAATTTAAGCCACTAATAAACAAGGCCCACATACGACTAAAAATCACACAAGTACAATTTGCAAGTAGATAAAAAAGTGAATCCAAATATGACAGACTATCTGGTTGGTGCCAGTGGCGCACTGGCAAAAAACGCTTTGATGAATGTATTCATAAAAATCCAATCATTGCAATTGCAGCACACTGGCCAAATAGAATTACAAAACTATAGAATAACAGCAAAAACAACAGCAACTACTGTACTATAATAACAAAAGGAGAACCATTCGAGATGAATACGCCAAAATAATGGGAAAACACAACAGACAGCTGGGCGCAAACTTCACAAAACGAGCCAACGATGCGGCTGACTCTGAATACTTGTCCGTTTAGTATGGCTAAAACACCCACCCACAAAGCAGTCGACAAAAAATTGCAGTAATATTTTTTTGCAAAACAAAACATTTGTACAGAGAAAGTAAAATACAAAAGAAAAACAAGCACTGAGCAGTGCATAAAAAAATACCAGTAAGAAGAACTATCTTTAAATGACGAAGACTAACTACTCTTTAAGCTGTTCAATTGGCAGATATTCCATTGTCAACCGTTTTATGCCCAACAATTAAAAGGTTTATTGAGATTGGACACGAGCATCATAAAAGGAAAGTAGTTTTATGATAGTTTCGCATGGAATATATATGTTTATATCCCATTTACGTAGATCAGAAATGCTTCTAGAAACATCATGATACCCTTAACAAGAGTATCAAACAAATAACAAAAAAAAAAAAACAAAGTAAAACGCTTATAAACAAGAACAACAAGAAAAATACGATTAAAATGACAAGTGAAAGCAATTTTCGTGCAGCTGCTGTGGATAATGGGACAGTGGGTGGGTAAGCGGATGAAGCAACTGATGGGGTTGCTGATTGTGGTGTGGGTATGCTTGGGGCTTTGGGCTTTGGGCATTGGCTTGGCTTGGCACGGCTTGGCACGGCTTGGCTTGGCTTGGCTGAACTTCTTGCAGACAATGGGTCTGTTATTTCGACTGGAATGGCAAAATTGCTGGCCGAAAATATGACTTCGGTTATGACCAACTGAAAGCAGTTACTATCAAGGAAATACAGATATTTCTTTCCTGTAACTGCACCCCATCCCAGTTCTCATTGCCCTCCATCTATCCCCTGGTACTCACATTATTGCTGCATTCACATTTCAGTATCCATTCGATGGCAATGAATTTATTTTCAATTTGTATTTGACGTGATTGCAGAAATTCCTGATCGATGGGTTCCAAGGCGATGGTATCCCACAACTGGTCCTTCGGCTGTCGACTACTTTCGCCTCCATCAGCCGCATCGTCCTGTTGCTTGTAGTGTTGTGTTCGCTTTTGAACGTAGTTAATTGGATCAACGGCATTTAAAGGACACAGTAGCTCGACCTGTGCACAAAACAGAAGGGCAGAAAAAAAACTTAGTTTGAGAATGTAACAAGTAGGAAATCACTGTCAGTGTTCCGCTCTCTGCCAGCTCCGGTGATTGAAGCAAACGTTTAATAAATAGGAAAAGTGCAATAGTTGCCCAGGTGCTAAATTGATTTTGACAGCCAACTGAACATTTGAGGCTGCAGCTCCTGCAACTCTTGTAGAATAGCGAATTGACATTTTGATGCAATTCCTTTTTTAATTAATACTCAAAGTTAAATGGCTGTCATATAAACAGCAAAGGGAGGAATTTAAGTTATTCGACTGCTAAATGATCTTTGATATTAGACGCAGGACATAAAAAAAAAAAACTAATAATTTGATTGATGTAAGTAAAAGAAAGGAGTAAACTAATTAAAAATATAAAATTTCTGAAAATAATAATGTGAGTCTTTGTCTTGCGTATATTAATAAAGTACTTAAGCACTTAATGCCCCAAACAACTGCAATTGTTTATTGCACTTCCTCAGCAACAGTAATACGACAGCAAATGGACAGAGCATTACTGGCTTAATTCCTTTTACACGATGGCATTGCATTTAAATTGCCAACGGCTGCGTTGCACTAAAATTGACGCCAGTTTAATTGAATAATGCAATTAACCCAAAACAGATGGCAATCGTGACAAAATGGTTAATTGAAATTGGAAGCCAGTTTGCGACAAATGCTTTTTCGCTTCAGAACAACCTGAGATTTGTAAGGCTGCTCAAATCTGAAGTCTGAAATGTTGTTGTAGTAATACTCACTTGTATTGTTGTTGATGCAGCGGGTACACAGCACTTGGTGCCACGATGGCAGCTGCCACATAGTTTGGGTCGATACAGTTTGCGAGAGACACACTCGCCCAGTCGAATCCTTGCCGGCCCCAGGCGCTGTAATCTCCGGCACTCGTGACCCTTCTGCGTTTAGCCAAAGAAAACTCACATCAGACTGGCTGCAACAGGGAATTTTTCCAACAGCCACAACTCACTCTTATTCTATGCGCTGGCTCCTCCTGTTGCATATCATGCTCCCGTACCCTTTCACGCTTATGATGATGCAGCTGATGAAGCTGGCTCCGGGCCAAATTGTGCTGCAGCTCATTGGCTAATAGTCTATTGTGGCTGTTGCTCTTGCCGTTGCTGTAGCTGTTGCTGTTGCTGTTCTTATTGTCCTGGCCACATCTGCGATTCTCGCAGAGCCGTAAATTGCTCAATTGATGGCAGCCGGCATGGGTGCTGGTGTATCTTGTGGCCATGCCCAGGCCACAGGCTCGACTGCAACCCGTCCAGTTGCCGCTGGTGCTGCTGTTGTGGCAGGTGGCATAGACTGTAAGCGAGAACAGAATGAGAACAAAAGAGTTGCTAATGATTATGATTGGTCGAGTGTTTAATGTAGCTTAAGTAAGTTAGCTTCAATTTGAAGCTATTGCATTCCTATTATACTTTGAAATAGATTACGATACTTTTCAGGCATTAAGTAAGCTATTATATATTAATGCCCAAGAGTCTTGTTATGCGCTTTAAACTTAATCTCTAAATAATAGGAGCGTTGCTGCCAGTCAGCTTATATTTTTAAGCTCTGCATTGAAATAGAAAAAGACCTGTAAACTTGAAACTTGGAATTGTTCTATGCCGCTGAAAATATTAATATTTAACAATAGAGATATCAAACAAAACTTAACTACCGATTATCAAATTTAATACATATTCACAACACAAAACCGTTGACAAAGGCGTAAGGCATGATTCAAGTAAGTGCAGAAAGTGGAGACGCTTACAAGCGCTTAATAATCTTGTTTATTTATTGCATTTTGCGCGTTTAATTAACACTTAATCCTTGTGTAAGTAATTATGCTGATGCTGTCCATTGCCTCCGGCAACAGCAGCAGCAACAGCAGCACCAGCAGCAACAGCAACAAGAGCAACAACGAAGCTTCAGCTGGCAAAGCGACTGCTGCCTTGTCATGGAATAATTCATCTTCATAAATATGCGCTGCGCTTTTGGTTGGGGGCGCTTAAAAAGCATTAAGTTGTGCGCTGGACGACTGTGACGTTGACGGCATGCCCCTGGGCGCCATTACCACTGTCAGAGCGAGGACGAGGAGTACGACCAGGGCAGCAGCAACCATAAACACTCTTATAAAACAATAACAAGGCCATCGACCAGAAACAGACGGCGACTGCGACTGTGACTACGACTGCGAAAGGGACAAACAAACACAACTTACCATCAGCTGTTGGATTCTCACAGAGCCACATTTTGCAACAGTGGCCGGGCACCTCGACGAGACGCGGTGATCTGCACGAAATCGTATCCTCTGGCGCCGGCAGCTGCTCATTGGGGCACAGTGTGGAGCAGGCGTGGCGGCCATTCTGCAAGAACATACCATTAAAATACATTAAATGTGGGCCACAGCCATTGCTTCTTCGGCTGTTGCTGTTTACTTTGGCCAGAAATAAAGTCATAATGTAAGTAAGATACGAGTTGGGCCAAAAAACCAACTAGCAAGTGCTTAAAATAACCTAACGCCAAATACCATAAGCTCAGCGTTAAATTAACAGTTTATCCCATTACACTATTTTATTTTTTTTGGCTTAGTTAGATTTTGCTTTTGCATTGCATAAATTTCAGGCCAGCATTTTGCATAGTTTCATGTAGGTGTGTGCATTTCCTGCGACTTTCCATGAATCTGCTAGGGTGCCATGATAAACGGCCTTCGTTGGTTAGAGGTGCGAATTCCAAAGCTCACATCCACCCTCCCTGAACCATTCCTGAGAAATGTGTGGCCATTAAGCAATGCCAAGGATTTAGACGAGGCCAAAATACACGTCTTCTCACTCAGATTTGGCAATCCTTCCTATTCGTTTCATATAATTGCGTGTAAATCTCATTCACGTCGTGAATATTCCCAAGAGCCTTACAGATTGAATTCTAAGACAAACAAATTAGTTAAATAAATCCCAGACAGGCAAATGAAATGTGTTTATCTATACATAAATAAAATGCAGCGTTATAGTATAATTACATACATCTCTCCCATTTCTATAATCTAATTCGAATGCCACTATGCATACAATTCTAATTAAAATGCTGCAATGCGATTGCACTATTTTGTCAGCAAATAAATTACACAAGTGCCCAGGTTAACCATTATACGAAAAAAATAAAAGAGAGAGCAATCAATTCTTAAACAATCACAAAAGCAAAGAGCCGCTTAGTCTAACTGCATTTGACTTTGACCGAATCTGTATGCTGACTAAACACCATATCCCACTGACACTGTCCCTGACCACCTCCTCCCCCTTACCACTTACTTACCTCGCAAACGCATTGAGTTTTACAATCCAATTTAAATGTGGCTCCATGTGCAAATGTTGTGTTGCCAACGCTGCAATTGGCTGCAGGCCGAAAGTGACAGCAAGTGGCACAGAAAGAGTCAGCATCAGGTCATTCATATGTGGCAAAGTTCCATTGTTGTCGTCCAGCGTTGAAAAAACCAAAGAAAATCCCACAAAAAACGATTGGAATAAAGAGAAATGAAATCAGGACAAAAACGAAAATGGTTAGGGATATGCCAAGTTCGAAATAGGCAAAGAAATTGAATTGAACGCTTTTGTTAAAGTTTTGTGGCTTTCAAGCTAATAGTTGAGGCCATAACAACTGAACTTTAACAATTCAAATTTTATTTGTTGGCAGTTCAACTGGGCAATTGTCGTGTGATGATGGATATAAGATAGTCAAATATTTTCTGATAAAAATAAGAAAATCTCGAATTAAGATTATATCTTAACTGTATTTCCTACATTTCTTATTTCTTATCTGTATTTCTTATAACAAATCAAAGTGAATATATTAAATTTTAAATATGAAATCTGCACCATTTAATTCATCTTTTGATTATCTCATGTTGTATGAAGGATCTAATTTCCTGTTAAATTCCCCGACACTTTTATGTGCATCTGTTCAATATGTTAAGCAAAAAGTCATTTGACATTGTATGCGTACGTTGCTTATGCCATAATTACGCTGCCATGACTTGTTTATTACCAATTCACTTGACTGTCATCTCCTCATCACATCAAATGTCAAAGGAAAAAAAAAAACCAATTAATATGTGGGAGCGGCTGTTATAAATTTTCTCCCATACACAAAGCAAATATCACATATATACAGTACAATATATTTACGCAACAAACAATAGACTTTATGTGTGTCGTGTCCCATCAAAATTGATACTGACAAATGTTGTACTTTATGGGTCGCCATTAGGCCGCAAAAGTTTACTTTTGCTTTTGCTTTTTTTTGGGTGTGGGCTGCACAAAAATGCGTAGCCGCCAATCACAATTACCCGGCTTTTCGGTTGACATTGGATATTTGCAATTTCGCAGTTACATCAAGTTTACCTACACACCCACACACTCTCGCATACACACCCACATACACACACACACACACATGCTTACATATATACTTGTACTTATAGGTACGTGCTGGGTGGCAATTTTCCACTTTTCTTGGGCATGTTCTTGAATTGATTTCGTCGAGGACAACGTGACTCCGTTCGAAAGATACCAACAGGCACACGAGCACGGCATTCGTATCTCGTTTATTCATTTTGGCTGTGTGGCATCAATGGCTAATGCGAAAATGGGTATTGCACGTTGTTTGTAATGAATATAAGCACGTGGTCGCATATTTATGTCATTAGCAATTAGATGCGAGTCATTGAAATACTAACAGGTCCTGCAACTGTAACTACAATGCCGGAAGAGCCACTGCTGCCACTCACTCATTTCCACTGGCAGGCAGCCCACGTTACGTGCCACCATCGCGTGTCCTTGGCCAACTCGTGCAGCCGTACCCCTACGGGCAAGTCCGCTCGCCCCTTAAGACCTTACACCTTTTTCACTTTGTGGGGAAATGTGTCATTTTCGAAAGTGCAATCTTCTTAATGTACTTTGGCATAAGACACACACTACAAGCAAAATCTGTCTACATCGTATACACACCGACACATACACAGACGAGTGTAAAATGCTTGCCACACACTCAAAAACACACACAGACATTGCTTTACATATCAGGAAGTGAACTTCTGTTTATGTGGTTGTGTCATTGCTCCTTACAAGCAATCGCTGCTTACCCTCAACGAATCGACCAGAACAGCAAAAACGAAGGTAGAAATACAAAATGAGGAGTTGATAAAATGCACATACCCTAGGAGCAACTTATACCTGAATTGCAGCCATAAAAATGATGTAGAGTATAGTTGAAATTTATTTACAAATCAATACTCCACACAGAGTCTGTTTTTCTTCAAACAGCGACATATTCTTCATCATCTGGCTTACAGGGTATAACGATGCTTGCCCTTAAGGGCGGAAGTGAAAGCAGGAATTGCAATGTGAGCACTTTTATCTGCGTTGGCTGTCAACATTTAAGACTGTCTACGCTTTCCTGGAGTGTACTTAAACAGTCATGTGTGTCCTTCCTCTGCGTTCCTCTCGTCGTTGTTGTGAGGCCGCCTTATCCAGGCTATAACTTCATGTTATGCATTCTACTTGTGTTTTTATTTTTGTAATGTACTCGCACTCCCTGTTATTGTTTACCTTTTAACAACCCCTTTTCGGAGAAACAGAGAGAATGGAAAAAAACTGTAGCATGCCTTTATGCGCCCAATGTCCACTGTTGATGGTTGGTTGTTGGTTGGGTCATCATCGCTTGTCCTGGTTTGGGGTCACGTGTGCACAGTTTATTTGTCTTATGCCGAGCTGTAGTGTTTGTCTTACTTAGAGTTTTAGATTTACTTAAGTCGCTGATGACCATGACCAAATAAAGTTTCATTTTGTGCAAAGATTTACAACACTTGAGCGTGTGCGACAAGTTTTGAGTGCCCAGTATCCAGACTGCCTCGGACTTTCATATACACAGCACACACCGAGAGTGCGCTCAACAAAGCTTAACAGGCTCTTGGGATAACGCTGCGTATGCGCAATTTTATTGCAAATTGCGTACTCAATATTGTTTGCATGGAACATGTGTTAGCAAACAAACAAAAAAACCATAAAAGTAATTTCTTTGCGATAAGCAGACATATTTCAAAATACAAAATACAAATTTCTCAAGCTTTATCATTTTAATTAACTAAATTGAAGTATAGAATTAAAAAAATTAAAAGAATCGCAATGATTTAGCAGTAAGCTGCTTGAAATTCTATTCAAATACGATTCAGTTACTATATGAATAATTAATTCTTGGCGTGTGTGTCGAAATCTAGAAATGTTTTTGCAGCTCAAGTAAATCTCATTTAATTTTGATAAAAAGAATTCCTCACGCTTCTGAACTTATTCCGTGCTGACGCACAAATACACAGACACACAGACACACACATAGCGGCAGCACGCTCCACATTTTTCGTGTTTCGATAACTTTTACAAAAGTTACACGCCCACTGCCCTTTTGCGCCCGCTCTACGAATTTGAAAAAAGAACAAGTTTTACAGTTTAAATAAACTTGTTCCGCTTTGCCTGGACAATGCATCAGCGCAGCGGGGAACGCCGCAGGCAACAGAACGTGTGGAGCATTGATATGCGCCCAAGGCACAAAACACACAAGTACACACACACACACACACACACAGAAAGAGAGAGGGAGAAAGAGAGAGAGAGAGTAGGGAGTGGTGTAGGGAAAAAGCAAAAACAACCCACAACAGGCGTCAAACTCGGAGACTCCCACAAACTGTATTGGCATTTGACTCAAAACTTTTTGATTTTAGCTGCAGGAATGTAGTGTATAGGAGGTCAAGGGGGGGAGAGGCCGAGATGCCACGGGACGCGCACAACACATAAAACATATGCAGCGATATGGCCTGAAGGAAAATTGGCTTGTATTTGTTGTGGCACACAATATCGTGAACTTTTTGGCACAGTTCGTGCTGCTGTTTAATTCTAAAAAGCTTGTGAAAGAGCTGGGAAACATGTCGAATGAATTTCGAGCAAATACGACAAATAATAAAATAAATCGATTAAAATCACTTTGCTCGTTACCCGGCAGCAAACAAAAAATGAAATAAAACGACTGAAACACATTTTCAAAAACTTTTCCATATGGAAAAATAAATGTATTCTGTCTGCTTTAATGAAATTCCTTTTCTCATGCTGAGTCAACACAAATGGAAGTGTAAACGCTGAAAAATATATTTATTTATGGTTACTGAAACTGTTTTTAGAGGACTTTGTTAAACTCTTTCAATAGCTTAATAGATTTTAAAAAAATAAATAAAAAAAACGAAAGCATTTACATTCTCTCTGAGCAATTTAATCAATTTCAATTTGGGAGTACTGTAGTCCTGTTTTCTCATTACTTAACTGGATTTCTTCTTAAAATTGGCTTTCAAAAGCCGCATATTAAATAACTTTTTAAACCTTTCTTCTGCTTTGCTTTTGCTACTGGATTTTCTCAACGTGGTATGCATATTTGTTTTTCTTGTAGTATGGAGTTCCTTACTTCTGTGTTGTTGTTGGTGTTTTTTTTTTTTTTTTTGTATCGTTTTGTGCGCCTTAAATGAATATTTATTTGGCTAACAACACGAAAAATATTTAAAATTGATGGCTGTCTAAATGGAAAAAGTCTCTCGCTGTGTCCTTCTTCTTCTTCTTCGACTTTTATTTTTAATGTGTTTATTTTTTGTTGCACTTTGCTCTTCGAATTTTTTTTTTGCCAAATTATTTTTGGGTTGATTTTGAGACGCACATCTGAAGTGGCAGGCCGAAGAGTGCCTTTGATTAATGAAGCGCAAAGTTAATGTAATTTTACAATTTTCATTTTAAATTGATTGCGAGTTCACCTACTCGACCAATGATTTGCTTAACTTTAAGGCCAAAAATTCAACTCAATTGCCAAAGGAAAAATACAAAAATTAAGTACAAAATAAATAAATAAATCGACTTACCGGGATTTATATGCCTTGGCAGCTTTTGGGTCGCATAATTAGAGAAGAGCAGAGAGAGAGAGAGAGAGTGAGAAAGGAGAGCAATAAGTTTTGTAAACGAATTCATAAATAAATACAGTTTGGATAACTCACTCTGATGACCTTAAAGCCTAAGCTCAAATTCGCCTCGACTCCAGCAATGAGACTATTACCAAATATACTCAGCAACGGCAGCAGTATCAGCATTTTCTGTAAGAGAAAGAGGGAGTGAGAGAGACAGAGAGATTGAGAATAGGCGTGGTTAGTGAGGGACGAAGGTGGGCGGCTGAATGAAAAATGTTTGCCCTCAAAAAGGTCGAGAACAGACAACAGCAGCCACAACCATAGCCACAACCCGAACCAGAGCCATAGCCACAGTCGCAGTCGCAGTCGCAGTCGTCGACTTTATTAAGGTCAATTCAATGTCTGGTTTGGCTTTTTTGTTGGTTACGGCTAATGGTTACGTCTATATAACAAGGTCCTATGGCTAGCGTGTTATATAGAGTACGGTCTACGGTCTACGGTCTACGGTTTGTATTTTGCATTTCCGTTTGAGTTCGCTTCGTGTTTTCACGCCTGCAAACCAAAACAGTAGACGCCGCCTTTATTATTTATTATTATTGTGCTTTTAAAAAGTTATCTTTTGTTTCCCCCAAACAAGAACTGGCTTTTGTTTTTCGCACTGAGCCCGGCCAGTGGAATAAGAAGAGTAGCAAAAGAAACTTGGTGAAAATGTTATTCAAAAACAAAAGGAAAAATGGTAAAGACAATCACCTTAAATTCAACAGACAAAATAGCAACATTAAGATATAAATAATCCGGTCTTAAATGTTTTAGCAAGTAATTTTCGGGCATAATTTATGAAACTCTCAGCAACTTTAATGAAAGCGCAAAAAATAGATTCGAAGACGTTGCCATAAATATCATATGCTTAATGATTTTTTAAGCGGTTTTCCCAGTGTGCGTCCCGAAATGTTGCACATTGGGCACACTTATGTATATATATGTATGTGTATGTATGTAATCGTATATTTAACACAATGGCGAAAACTCATTAAAAATATTTGGCAGTCATGCGCAAGAATTTTAAAAGGTATTTAATTAAAGTTTAATAAATAAATATGCCAGCTCGCGGCGCATTACAATGTAAAAAATTAAAAAGCAGAAAATATAAAGGCAAATAAGCCGAGTAGAAGGAGGGATGCGGTGGGCAGGCAGGATGGGAAATGAGGGTAACTTTCCCTTAATGCGTCAGTTTTCAATTAACGACGCAATGTCGTGTGCCGCTAAGTGGATAAGCAGAGCGCTGGGGCATTTTCAAGGGAGGGGAGTGACCGGGTGGAAATCATCACACACTGGACCAAGCAGCAGGCAGCACGCAGCAAGCAGCAGGCAACGAGCCGAGGACATGCTGTGTCTGAATGCATTGAATGCTGCTTCATTAAGGTGCTGTTCAAGGAGCTGCATTTTCCAGTCCTTGTCGTAATCATCGTAATTACAATGAGCGATGAGGACAGCCATACCTAGAACGATGGCACTATCAACAATAATAAAAGCTAACGAGTCGAACACCAAGCAAAGCCAACAACAACAAGTGCAACAGTGGCAACATTGTCATTGACACTTTTAATTGCAACTACACACAAAGGCCAGCAAGTCTTACGCAACTCAAAGTGGGGCAACATATAATGCTACATGTTGAGGATACTAAGCACACACAAAAAAGCTAAACAGGCCAGAATTTTAAGTCAACGACAGCTAAGATACTCTGCTCTGACAAGTATATTTTCAGGTCTTATCTTTCAATGAGAAATATGCTGTATTCACAATCAAATTTACTGTGTCTGAGTTAAAGTTGAGGAACCATATCTTTTTTACTGAGCTTCCCATCATATCTCTCAACTTTGAATATTCCATTTAAAGTTTTCCAGGGTATCCAAAAGTTAGATACAAACTGTCTGTTGGCTGTCTGCTTTGTGCTTATAATTATGATGAAGGAGGAAATTCATCAACCCTGTGCAAGTGCAAACTGCTCACACTATCCGAAGCCCCCGAGGCGAACATGTCAAAAATTGTGTGTCATTTAGGAAATGAAAAGTGAATGCTTCAAAAACTATCGACTCAAAAGGATGCGCAAAGAATCATAATTCAGGAAGCTGCACAATGACTACATTGAAATTAATGAGACCAGACACAACGTATAAAGGATGTTCAAAGTGTTAATATATGCAGAGGCCTTTACAATACATGTACAACATGCACAATACAAGCATGATTATGTCTTAATAAAAGTTAAAAAGTTGTTACAAAAAGATTTTCATTTTATGGCTTTTTTAAAGACCATAAAGTGATTAATGTCAGCGACAGCAAAGATCCTGACAATCTGCTCGATTAAAGCGCTTTTCAAGTCGGCATCTTTGAATATGTTTTTTGCTCTTAGTGCTGAATAAAATTAATGACATGAACCATTTTGAATGAACAAACAATTAATCTTCTTGAATTTCTATGGTTGCTCCCTAATGGCAAAGCATTAGCTACTAATAATTTCTATTAAGATTTAAGCCTACATTAAGACCGATGGATAGGCATTTAAATGGGCTATCTGAAATTCAGATGTTAATAGGAATCTCCTTATGACAGCAGCTTGTGGGGGTTTTTGTAAAATCTGCTAGAAATCAGTGCTTAGTAAGCATTAAAAAAGACTTATAAGTTTAGGTTTATAAGTTTATTAGTTTAGTTTATATTTATAATAAACAAAACGACCAACCCGAATAAGTTAACTTATCTGTTATTAGAGGAGAATCAAATTTATGCGATATGAGAAACAAATTGATGATAGTCATGGGATGTTCACGCCTTATCAGTAACTGGAACACATTCGGAGAACGGAGCGGTAACAACAATGTAAAGTCCGCTCTTGGCCTAAACCATTGTTAAGCTCAAGGCACTTAACCATGTCAAGCATCGATTTATTGCTCCCCACTTGATACTCGGGTAGCGCTTGTTACTCAGCATTTCCTAAGCCTGATCGGCTCTTAGTTCTTATGGCTCCAGTGTCTGGGGGGCGCTGAATTGATTGATTTCAGCTGTAGTTGTGTCATAGAGCATGGCCCCCAATTCGCCATTCCGGCCAAAAACCCGGCAATGTTGACGCACAGTCATAAATAAAAACACTCGGATATTCATGTCGATGATTTTTTTTCATCTTCTTCAGCCTCAACTCCCTGTTATTCATTGGTTGCCTGCGGCAAACGTTCCAAATACAAATTGTATCACTTAATATTTGGATTTTTTCCTATCTATCGTAGTTTTGGTCTGCCCCAGTCCCTGCCCCACATCTTGCCACCTCCTCCTACGCAAATAGTATTGCAATGTTGATGTTTGTCTGTCTGGTTGCCATTGGAGCTGTTTGCACTGAGAGTGACTCTGCGGATTGTCGGCTAAGCATTTTATTGTTGATTTGCGTGCTGTTACTGAATAATTGATGGAATGACAATCTTGCGATGTGTCAGCATTGTCACCGCCATTCTATCGAGCGCTTATCAACCTCAGACTGTGTTACTGTGTTACTGTCATTGTTGACAACGACCGCTTCACATTTGCTCAGAATGTGTTCGGAATAATAAGCATAGGCGTTGCATTATAATCTACGCATACACTTAGCAAAATGTATGCCTTACAATATGTTTCTCAAATTACAGAAAAATTACAATAACATTAATAATCAAATGACAACCCAGATGATCTTCAAAAACACACTTTCTATTAATTAAGTCGACCTGACATTGCGTGTTAAGCATTTTTTTTCTGTTTTTTTGAAGTGTAGGCACACACAACCAGAACACGCACCCACTAAACAACACGCTTATGAATGATGAGCAGTCAAACAATCAGCTTGAAGCAGCCTAAACGCCCGACAATAACAACAACAAAATATGACACTAAATCAATAGTGAAATTATAATGAATAGAAATGAAATTCAGAAAAACATTAATGCTCACTGATAAATAGACAATTGCCAGACTCGTGCAAATTTTATTAGGTATTTAAGAAAGCTATTTGCGTCTTTTGTTTGTGCCATCCAACTTCATTCAGTGAAGCACTTTGCAGTTTAGAGTTGTCGACGCGGGCGTATAAATTTCATTTCTGGTTAATTGAAATTCATTTGAGCAAATCAAATTAAGTCAAAAAGTACGCACATCCTGGCCATCCTACGTGCTGGCAAACACAAAAACCTTTGGAACATCCTGAACGTCCTGAACGTCCTGTCGAGCAGCCGGCAAATGGCACAAAGTGATTCATTCATAACGATAAATTAAGACAAAAAGTCTAAACAGACGACGACACGGCTGCGACATGCCCCCGACTCCATCCGCAAAGCGACATCGAGTTGCCCCCGGGGAAACACTTTTATTCAAACTTTATGTGATAGCCCCGTGTAGAAGGGGCAGGAGCATCCTTTCAACTGGCTGGCTGGCTGCCTGTCGCACACGTCCACATAAACATCCTTAAGGATGGCAAGTGAGTCACATTTGTCGTCATTCGCTTGCCAGAAACGTGCCCAGGTTCAAACCAGGGGCCTGAGTTGTTAGGGTGCACCTCAAACTGAACCCACATCAGCTCTTCCGAAACAAAGAAAAAAAAAAAAAAACTCAATTACTAAATATCAGCAGGATCACAAATAAATAAATTAAGGATACAAATCAGCAGCAAGCGTTGCAAAGTTTGTTTAAATCGAAATGAAATAGTGACACAGACGCTGCCATAAAACCAAAAGCAAATACAAAGCCCCACATTGCCACAAAAGGAAAAAGGTTAAAACAAATATTTATGCAGCAGAGGCAACAGTCCCGGAGAACGGAGAAAAGAATGTGTTTGGGGCTCTCTCTCGCTTTCTGTTTCTCACATATGCTGTATGTAATTACCAGGCATAGTCTCCGAGTACAGCTGCGCCTAAGTACATAAACATACATACATACATATATATATATATACATATATACATTTATACATATATATATATGTGTGTGTGGGTGTAAGGTTGTGTGATTGCAGCGTACGTGGCTTTATGCTTAAATAAACATATGTCGTCGTGGTCGGAACGGTTCCTAGTCGCCTTACCCGTCCTAGTCATCGTCTCTGTGTAGTTTACATAGCGCCCAACGGCAGTCCGTTTGCCTGGTCAAAGCCAAATGGTTGATTGCATAAGTTGATGGTCAACACATGTCCAAGATATATACTACCGATACACACACATAGACCCACACACACACATACGCACACATAGCATTGCATGTGTGTAACGTCTGGTGAGGCATGCACTGCCTTTGGCAAACTGTTTTATACCACTCACGTGTTGTTGGTAGTCTCTTCTAACGATGACGATGTCTGTGCAGGTTGCATTGGCTGCTCCAAGGCTGACGCGTTGGCTTGATGACACGGCGTACTCCACTGACTAGGTGACTACTTTGCTACCAGCTATCTGTAAAATACAACAAAAAAAACACAAAAATAATAAAAAAAAAAAAATAAAAGCGAAAGATATAAAACTTATATGTATTCCAGTCAGTGCAGTGGCAGTGATTGCTTTTCAGATACTTAAACAGATACGAAGTTACAGATTCTAACACTTGAGCTTCAGCTAAATCAATAAGATGCCAAACCGTTGTAAATTGAATCTTTAAAAGTTAAGAGGACGTAAACGAAGAGTTATCCATAAAAACGCTGTCTAATTGAAAGAGCTTATTGAAACAGTCTATTAGGCTTGAATACTAGTTGAATGCGTTCAATACCCTATAAGTTCTTATAATTATAGAAATGTGTTGTGTAGCTTTACGAGTTTAATATAAGTGCCCTTTTCTGAATCTAAACTTGAAGACATCAAGAGCTATCCTCCCTCAGATTGCAGCCACAATGCCATTTATTTATTGTTAAGCATTACATAATGGGGTCACAGTGAAAACTGCAATTGTGCCTGGATAACACTTTTGCCAACACTTTCGTTGCGCATTTCGCATTTTAATCAATCGATTGGCAAATACAAAATTCTCATACCCTGAAAATGTTCCAATGAACCCGACATTTAGACTCAAGAGCAAACGAGGAGAGCACGTGACCAGCTGAACGACAAAATTGAAAACGAAATCGAAATCGAAAATACCGAAAATTGTCGGTACGGAAATGTACCGACATTTTTGTCAGCTAAATGCAGCAGGACAAAATGCAATGTCATCTACTCGAACTGGCAGCCAAAGAGGGGGCAGGCCACGTGGCAGGGCAGGCAATGATTGTCATTAGCACTGTCATAAGCAAATTACATAACATAAAGAAGGCGACGAGCATAATCGAAGGACCAGATATATAAAAAAAAAAAAACATTTTTATTAAATTGTTTTGTGTTGTTTTCGTTTATTTTTCTTCTTCTTTTTTTGCACACTCCCTGGCAAGGTGTTTGTTATCGTTTGTTATATTGCTTGTTGTGTAATGTAATTTATATACACACACACACACACACACATGGACAAACACCTACACATGCAGAAACAGAAACACAAATATAATGTCATAAACGCCAAGGACACAAAGGCAATTCCGCATGACATTACGGACAGACAAAACAAACGGTTCAACAACAATGGGCGGGGCTGGGCTGGGCTGGGCTGGGCTGGGCACCACTGAAAGATTGGGGAGGGGAGCGGAGAGAGAGAGAAAGAGAAGACACGGTAAAAGCCAAAAAGTACGCGCTTGGCATAAATGATAAGCTGGCTACGCAGCTGGATGACAAACAGAGTGGGCGTGGTCATGGCCCAGACACGGACTTGCGGAGCGGGTGAAAGGAGAGCGCCCACAATTTGTGCGTCTGTGTGTATGGGGCTGGCTGCTTGGTTGACTTTTGAATACTTAACAGGATAATGAAATGTCAAAAGTGCGCAAGCGAGGCAAGCGTGTCCTGCTACTCGGCCTGCTCCCACTCTTGTTGTTGTTCTTGTTGTTGTTGTGGCTACATTTTTATTGTGTCCATGCCTAAGTGAACGTCATGGCGTGCCGCGCGCATTAAATCATAAAAAAAGGAGCAGCAGCAGCGCAAAAAAAAAATGTACATATATATTTATGAAATATGTGCTACCGAGAGCCACATCTCGCAGGACATTTGGTTGGCCATTTTATGTTTACATAAATTTAAATTGACACAAATGCGGCAGGCATTGGATTTCAACCGGTCTGCCCGGCCACAACAACAACAGCAACAACAAAGGCAAGCAAAAAAGAAGCGATAAACAACATAAATTATGACAGTTTTCCACACACCTTACTCACTTAGTTGTTGGTTTGTGTCGACTTCCAGATATTCATACAAGCACATATATCAATATTGGATACATCGGCATATGTGAAAATTGAAAATTTACGTATACAATTTGTTGCTATTTAATATTGAGTGCGCACTAACAAATAACAAAGAGAGACCCATCATCAGCAGCAGCAGCAGTAGTAACTTTAATCAACCGAAGTTGGCCTAAAGCAACTTTCGCATAGACAACTGGCTATTGTAGCAATTTCTATAGTTGGCTACGCAACTCGCTTGCAGCTTTGCTTGATTGTTTCTTCTTCTTTTGTTTTGCTTCCTTCTACTTTTTTATTTTTATTGTGATGAGGGTGATGGTGGGGGAATGAACTGAATAAAAGTTATTTCGGTTCGCACACTTGAGCTTCAATCAATGGCAACGGAAAAAAGCTGTAATCAATAAAGTAAATGACCGAGGCACTTCCAATCCACATGTGTGGCACATGTGCAAACGTGTTTTTGATGCGCCCCAGTCGATATAACGGTTGCAGATATCGCGACGACTTGCAAAAAGATTTTGAACAATGCGAAATCACCAATGGACTTTGGCAAATTGGCAATTGGTGAACTTCGAGGCTACTACATAAATAAATGTGCATATTCCATTAGACTAGCTGGATATGTTTGTAGAAGTCGAAGAAAAAATGCGAAGACTTTTTATTTGTGAAGTCTTCATTCTGGATCAATTAATCTTTTTGCCAGATCAGAAGTTGGGGACAACTTTTCCTAATATTAAAAGTACTCATTCACAATAATAGACCGCAAACTAGATATTCAACATGATAAGACGAGATTTCTTTCGATATTACTTTTTAAAGAGTAACAGAAAATCCTTAATTTCTCTGTTATTTTTATGCTCAAGTAGAAATTATATACAATAACAACTTACTCCTACACATGTTTCTGCTACGCCCAATCTAATAAAAGAAGCTCACATTCACATTGCGAGCTGAGTTTGTTTTGCTCAGCTGAGAACTTATCGCACAATTCTAATGTTATTTGTGTGGACTCATTCACTTAGGCATTTTTATTAATTAAGTAAATTGAGCTGGCAATATATAGAGCCAGACAAAGGCGTGGAACCCAGCAATAGCACTCGTTGCATAATACGCGTATACTTGATTATTTGCAGTGTTTATGCTCGGCGCCCCAAAGTAGGCAGCATTAAATAAACTTTCCGACAATGGACAAGTCTTAGGCTCAAGAATAAAAGCTGCGTCAAGTGTTTTTGCATGCTTGGAGCAACACGAGCACGAACACGCTTAATTTGGTTAATGAACTTGAGGGCAATTTCTTGGGTGCGTCTTTGGGTTGACCCAATGAAAACTTGGCAGCCGGCCATTTATGTTTTGTAATTGAAATCAAATTTTGTGAAATATACATAACCACAATTCTAATTGTGCCGCACAATACAAAACAAATTTTATGAGCATTAAGTTTGGGAACTAAAATGTATTTTACAACTTGCACAAAAGGCAAAGACGTTAACTTCGTGGGGAGTGGAGGGGAGGGAAACCGCTTGTTGTTTTGATTCGTTTATTGACTTTTCATGTTGCTGCCAATTATGCGTCGATGTCGAAAACTCAACTACAATGGTGCCAAAAACTTTTGGCATAATCTTAACGAGAAAATCTGTAAATTACACGCCAACGCAACAACGACCAACTTTTCAAAAGTGGCCTGGTGGGGGAGGAGGGCGTTCACAAATTTTCCAAATATTTATACACCTAAATAGATTTTATGGCATAATTGAAATTTGTTGTTACCGCTGTGCGAGACCATGTCGCCCCTTGGCATCCAATACTAGCGTATTTGTGTACAATTTACATAAACTCATTGCAATGCCAGCCAAAAAGTTTATTAAAAGCGTCGTCGAAACTTTGCCGCCTGCTAATAACAATCATAAACATGGCATACAACATAGCCACAGTGAAAATGATGACGGTCCTGCAAATTGTGACACATAGCTGCGGGCAGCGACATTGTTCTGCTCGCTCTTGTGTCTGCTCCGCCCACCGCCCAACATTTGGCTCATTTGTTCGAACAGCATTTTTTTTGTTATGCTACAATTTTGATCATTTAAACTAAACTAGAACTTCCTTTGTTTGGTGTGACTTGAATCTACAACTTTTGTTGTCACACTTATACAACACGTATATAAAGCCAAAGAAAATGTTTACAGCTAAACATGTTCAGAATCAAAAATAAATACACAGCTGCACTATAGAAATATAAGTTATAATACATCTTATTTGGTTGACAGTGACCAACTTCTTCCCGAAGTAGCAGGGGTCTTTGAGGAGGTAATAAAATGGAATTATGTGAATATGTTTTGATTGGACATTTGTTCAGGAGCTTCGTTTAGCTACTTTATGATAATGAGTTTGGGTGAGTTCTGTGCGTAGGTGAAAACCAAAAAAAAAATCACTTTTTTTGTATTAAAAGTGTGAGAGATAATGCCTTGCCCAAAAAAAACTCTATTCAATTTATACTGATATAAAGCACCGCGAAGCATGCGATTATATTAACTGACTCTTACAAATTGCTGATTAATTAACTCTTTGTTGTTGGCATAAACTAAACTTTGAGTTGAAAAACTTTTGCCATGCTTGGCGGGCATTTTTCATCGCTGTCTAAACTCTCCACTTAAAGCAACAGCGTTGCGGGCATTTAATGTGCTTACATTCATTTAATTTTAAATCTGAGATAAAGTGGCGTCTGCTTTAAGTTCTCCGCTCCGCCGACATTGGCACGCAGCCCAAACCCCCCTCAATCCCATTCGGCTGCTTCCCGAGCATTCCCTTTATGGGGCGACATAAAACGCAAAGTTGTCGCCGTGCCGCAAACGCAATTCTTTTGCACACTGAGTTTTTAGTCGTTGCTTTTTCGCCATTTTTTTTATTTTTATTTTTTTTTTTGTAGTCGTTTTTTCTTTTTTGTGCCGTGCCTTTTGCGGGCTTCCTGTTTTGTACGCGTTTTCTAGATTACTTTTATAAGTGAATTTGTTGCGGTTTTCCGCAAAATTTACAAGTACGTGAGAAAATTAGAGCTTAGCTTGTTGGGTCGACTCCTGTCGCGTACCCTGAGACGCTTGTTGCTTTCCGGCTTGGCCTTTGGCGCCCAACCATTCTCTAGAT